CCCAGGCCCAGCTTAGCTACCCAGGGCTCAATGGCTTGCTCAGATGCCCAGAGGAAACGGAACTCTTGCAAGCTTTCGACGCCCAACCGGAGCAGGGCTTCAACTACCCCATCATCCAACGAGAAGTTGTCACCCAACTTCCTTAGGATTTCCTCCGGGGAACCCTTTTCCAGTGGGACTTTATCAGTCTCCATGGCCTGTTCTCGAGGACACCGCTCTAGCTAAGGCCCAGGGATCCCCTCCCTTTGACTGAAAACTGCGCCTCGGGTCTCCCCCGTGCGTTGCGCTGGAACAGCCTGGCATGACATGAAAGAAATGGACACTGAAATTCACTGCTGTTACGTCAGGACATGTGTACAACTCACAGCTGTGTGTTGACCTCACATGACATCACCTTCATGCCGCCACAGAGCTATGGTACACTAGACTATCTGAGGTCCCCCTCCCAGATGGTCTTGTGCGGTGTTGTGAAAAGAAAAATTTTGAAAACACAGCAAAAAGACATGAGGGCAACAGCAATCGGTCAGTGGGCACCCCACTGAAACTCACCTGGCCCTACTGTTTTTCTCTCGCACATGATGTCACTGCTGGGGGCGGTCATGCAGGCTGGATTGAAGCTCTTATCCAAGCCCCGAGCTGATGAATTCGGCTCTCCATGGCCGGAACGGGCCAGTGCTGCTGATCAGCGCAAAGGCCAAAAATTCGGCTTGGGCATCCTAGGCAGGCGGCCACCATGACGCTGGCGCCCGACGGAGGCACTGGTCACACCAGGGGCGCTCCCATGCCAGAGCTTCAAAGACGTCTGTGGACATGTACGGGTTCACCAGGCGTTTCGCCTTCCCGTCAGCCTGTGCTTGTGCTGACACAAGGTGATGCCATCCTCGACCGTGACATGGGTACTGGACCGATCCGTAGCTGCATATCCCTGCGGCTCAGGGTGCTGTGTTCCCACCGCGGTGTCCTGGAAGGTCTTATGCAGCCACTTCCGCATGCCTTGGTCGCGAATCACCTTGTTCAACTCTGTGTCCCGGCGGCTCTCCACGTAGTGGTTGGCATCCTCAATGGACTCACCGGCCAGCAATGCACGGCAGAGGATGCCTAAGAAAGCACCCCGGTGTCTCCCCTTGATGCAGTGCACCACGACGTTGTCGCCATGCCAGACTGTGTTCTTGACAGCCGGCCAAACGTCTGTCCACTGTTCGTTGCGTTCCTGGCTGTATGCCGCCGCGAAGGTCATCAACTGAGCTCCCGGGAGGGTCACCCCCCCCCGGCTCTCAGGACCATTCGGGAAACAGCAGATCTGCAACGCTGTCTTGGGGAACTTGTCCACCGTCTGCCTCATTGGAAGTCCTGCCAGGTAGATGCCACCACCCTTCCGTGACGTCCAGATGCAAGTAGGGGCCTGGGCTGTCCCTGAGCCCACACCCAAGCGCTCCAAGTGTAGGTCCAGGGTGTCTCCGGCTGCTTTGCCACGGCCTTTCTTTGGCATGGCCTTGGTCTGTGGCTTCCCAGGAGCTGCCAGGCGCTTCGGCGTTGTGGCTGCAGCCATAGACTTTGCAGCTGTGGCCGGTGGCTTAGGTGTGGTGGCTTTAGCCTTTGGAGGTGTCTTGGGGGCTGCAATGGCTGGCGCCTTGGGCGGAGTCTTGGGTGCAGCTTGGCCTCGGGCTTTCTTGACAGCTGTGCGCATCACCTCTGCCATCTCGTCGTCTGTGGCACCGCTCGCCGCGGTCCTCTTCCGGCCAAATGTGGCCTTCTCCCCCACGGCTGCCGGCACCAAGGTGGCCGATGGCTTGGGTGCCGCTGGCACTGCCGTTGCGGCCAGCACCGCTCGCTTGATGTTGCAAATGCCTGCGCCGTGCTTGCCACCACATGCCCGTCCTGACTTCTGTAGGATGGCACACAAGTGCACTCCGAAGGGACAAGAGTCTGCCGGATTCGGGCACTCATCCGTCTGGAATTCCGGGCAAATAGCCTTGCCATTTTTCAATGTGGCTGTCAGCACCTTGCCTTTGAGTTGATCAGGCATCTGAGGTGCCGGTGCTGCTTCGGCCTCTGGCCGGGCTTGCTGCGCCGCTTCAACGAACTGCTGTGACAACTTGAGCCTCTTCTTCACGTCCTGGAAGCTGTGTGCAGAGGCCCACATGTATGGGTTGGCGGTCTTGTCGCAGCAATCTGTCGGCCTCAGTCAGGCCGTGAGCTCGGGCTGCATCTAGCTCTGCCTGCGGGATCGCCTCCCACAGCAGATTGCTAGTGAGCTTAGCTGTAGCGCCCCAGATCAGTGATTTCACCTTGACCGACGCGGCGTATTTGGCCGACGAATAGTGAAATGCCATTGCCCCCACCTCTGGTTGCTCGCTCTTGTTTTGCCAGTCACCCAGGGCTGCCATTTCTTCAGGCCTGCAGCCTAACAACTGGGCCACCGTTGGTGCAAGCCTCCTCCAGCTGTAGGTGGTCAGGTCTTCAGGATTGTCGAGGAACACGGACATTTCCTGTTGCATCGTCTCTTGCACTTCCAGGATCGTCCAAGGTCGCCCTTCGTCCGAAAAACAAAGGCCTGCAAGTCTCTGCCTTGCTGGTGCCAGCGTCCTGTATGCCTCCAGCACTTCCTTGGCCCAAAAGAAGCCGTTGGCAAATGTGGCCGGCACCGCAAAGTCGAATCCTTCACGAGCATGCTTTTGTTTTCCTTTGGGGCACCTGCAATGGAGAAATGCAGCTGTGAGGCGACGAGGTTCTGACCGCGCGATGTGCGCATACCTCAAAAACAGCCAAACGACATGATCCAAGGGGCCAGGAGAACTGACCACCTCTCATCGCCAACCGCGTGCAACTCCATGATGCGGTCCTCCAAAGCCTGCACTAACGGCGGTTCCACCACCGGTGCTTGCCCACGCTGCCCAGTCGCCCTGGGTGTTGTAGGCACTTGCAAGTTTCCCAGCTCCAGGTCTTGGTCGGCATTCTTGTTCATCCATTTCAAGGCTTGGAGTGCTCGTGCTGGGGCCGAGGTATGGTTCAGGAACTGATCCAGGTCGACCATTCCAGGAGGAGCGGGTCGCCCCCGACTCTCCAAGAAGGCCCTCAGCTCCAACCATGTGTTGACCACTCGGTCGATGGTCGCCTTCTCTGCGTCCTTCACCTTCTTCTCGGCGATCCTCTTGCACGTTTGTTTCCATTCTGCCTTGAGGGTGTCTGTCAAGATGCCAGCTGGTTTGTATGCGCCCATCCCGACAAACATCGACACCAAGCCGTTCACTCGCTTCTGGACGGCTTCATCCAGGTTCTTGTCGACGTTGACGGCCTTGGGCTTCTTCTTGTAGATTGTTTTGCGCACAGGGCGCAGAGTGACGGAACCCTTGGGGTTGTCCTCCACGACTTTGGCCCCAGCGGCAAGGAGATGTTCTTCCACCCTTGCTCTTGTCTGCAGCCAGTCATCCGCTACGTGATGGCCAGCTAGTCCAACGACTTGATCATAGTCGGTGTAGGCATAGGCAAAGTCGTTGTCGTCCAGGAGGCCTTCGTTCTCCCTCCATTGACGCGCACGTTGTGCAGCTATCATCATCAAGGAGTCGGCTGCTCTCCATCCTGGTTCAGGGTCACCCCCTGACGAAGATGAGGCTGCCGCTTGAGCTGCGTAGTAGCCTTTGCTGCCTGATGCCATGGCACTGCACCCTAACAAAATTGCTAAGGTGCGGAGAGCAAAAAGATGCTGCGGTGACTTCAGAGGTGCCTCCTCTGTCATAAAATCAACCTGCAGCAAACATCTTCTTACGTCCTCCACAAGTGCTGCATGGCTCACGCCAGGTGAAGCAGGCACTACACATCCCGACGCAGCATGCCCAGCACACGCGCCTTGTGGGGTCCCCGCACTCTGTGCAGGCTGTGCCCAGCTGAAGCACGCCTGCATCCTGGCATTCCAGCCATCCACATAGCGCTCGATGTGCCCTGGCGCCTTCTCTCCCCCATGCAGCCCAGGGTCGCCCCCTAGGTGCTCTGGGAAAGTGGCGCGGCTCAAGGAAGACCGGCAGGAGCTCATGAGGGCCTGTGCATCTGAGCCAGCTCCTCCATTGATCGAACAGCTCCCCCAAGCCCAGTTGCCCAGCGTCGCCCGCTGTGCACCTGAGCTGCAACCCGTAGAGATCTTGGGGCACGACGTCGGCGGCCACTTTGAGCTTCGTGTAGGCAGCGACCAGCAGCAGGTCCATGGGGTCTTGGTGCTGGTAGTAGTACGCCCAAGCATCCGCAGGCGCCACATCATCGGGCAGCACAACCCCACGGCTATTCCACAAGCCGAGCCACGGGAACTTGAACCCCCCCACATGAGCTGCGCAACGCTGGCAGTCATCAAGGCAACAGGGTAGTTTCGGCAGGGGGGGGAAAAGCTCTGAATCTGTCCCAGTCGTGATGACGTAGGGGGAGTGCAACACTTCAATCCCATGCATCCAGCATGTGTATGCTGCCACGTCAGAGCCCTCCCGCGCCAGCCTTTCCACGTGGCCCTTGAACTCCAGGAAAGCAGCTGCATGGAGGATCTTCGCCTCGGTGGCCGCTGGGATATCGATCCCTGGGAGTTTGCGCTGCATACAAGGTCACCCCTTGTGTAGAGTTTGAACCACCCAATCAAGGTCTGGAAAGGTCACCCCTTACCAAGACCAAGAAAGAAAACAGCAATGAATGCTATTTTGGTTCAAGTTTACTTGAGCCAAAATGATAGCATTCATTGAAACACTTAAAGATGATACATGCACACCCAAGCCTGCCAAACTCAATGCATGGGTATATATATATATATGATAATCCCCGCTATTTTGGGCAGCGTTTAACCCCATTCAAACAACATAATATATTATAAATATATATACTGTATATATATATATATACTATAATCATCATCATCAGCTACCAATGGTGGTTTTGAACACTGCTGTGGAAAATCAATGATAATGAATATCGACCCAGGACCCAGACTGACCCAGCCATCAACGCCTGAATGGCTGCCTAGCTGCGCTGATGGCTGCATTGTAGCCTACCAAACTGTTGTGAGACTTGCCAAGCTCGAGAAGAAGCAGGGCCCTTTCCCATCTCTGCCCCTTCTCACATGCACCTGGCTAGGACTGAAAGAACGGCCGATCATCTTTCTGGATCGTGGATCAAGGCCATCCTCCGGCAACCATAGCTGGCTCCCCAACAAAAACGACAAACGTCGGTAAGAAAATCAACATACGTGGTGTAGCATTCACATATATTGACCATGTCCTAAGATAATGGTCAATATATGGTCAATTTTAAACCCATGTTCGATCTAAAAATGGCTCTTTCTATACAAGGTTGTGTTCCTATGTGTTCCTTTCTTAGGTTGGTTTGTAGCTATAGCTTCACTAGGCATCACTAGGCTTTTTTCGTGGTGATTCTGATTGATTCTGTCCTTCTGCCTCCGGAGTTTGCAGCCTCGGCACTGATTAAAGCCCCGCAGCTCCGAACATCCAGCGAACATCCACCGTTTTTATGGCCCAACTGAACGCTGAACTGCCATTTCCTGGGGCCCAACCATCCAAGGACTGGGGGTGAAGGGCTATCCAGAACTTGGTCTTTGTGGACCATGAGAGGTATCGGGATGTATATCTCTGTATATGTGCAAAATATCATATATCATTATATAGTACTTTATATATTCATCAAATTCAGTTCAAATTGAAGGAATGTGGATCTCACCATCAAAATCAGTAATTCAAAATGAATTAACCAAATCTGGATGAACTGCATTTAGTGATTTGGGTGTGGTTCCCCCCATATGATTATCATTGCTGATACGCCGTCAGGTAACAGGATCACTTCAGAAAACAGCCCAAAAACAGAGCATCATGGCTACTGACAGGCGCAGCTCTTTGGGTGCAGCTCTGGGGGGGAGATTACGCGTTCTAAAGCAATGTGTGTACCAAAAAAAGGTGCCATTTAGGGAATGTTTCCTTACATCATGCTTTCAACTGTAATGGCTCTTACTGGTCTCTTGCCTTGGGAGTCCTTATACTCAACTAGCCATTCAGGATCATTCAGGGTTTATTTGGGGGAGGGGGGTGTGATGTTGATGAAGTTGATGATGTTGAAAAAGTTGTTGTGGCTGATGTTGATATAGATGATATAGATGATATAGATGATGTAAAGGATATAGAAGAGATATCCTTAAAGGTGCAGTGTTTTTTATTTCATGTAGATGGTGTCACTATGATTCACCCAATGCCGACCTGCGATCCGCAGCATCCTACTCCACAGCGCGGTGTCACAAATATGTCGATTTTCCACGGTAACATTTAACGTAACATCAGCCTCCCAGAGCAAGGAATATTAATATGTTATTAATATGTATTGTCCAGTATGGTGTACGTATGCAGCTAAACCGGCCTCGACATCATCCAAATGCTGTGAATATATCACACATTGATAGTTTGAGTTAGCCATAATCTCATCCCATTTCATGCTGCAAATGGCTCGTAAACCATAGTGGGGTTAATCACCCCAGGGGAGGACAAATTAGAAATCAGAAACTTGAAAAACTGGACAGCCACCATGAGCGATTTTCAGGCCAAGCCATGTGACATGCACTTTTCCTCCCCATTTCTTTTGAGTTGAAGTTCAACGAAGTCCTCATTTCAATGGGTCTCCAAACGTTCGCTGTTTAGGTTCATATTCCCAACATTTCCCAACAAAACATCTGTCATTTTTCCATTTTTGCATCCAAGGTTCCCCGCCTTCTCACAACCACTGATGGCCGCATTTACCACGACCAGGTTGCCTTCAACGCTCTGCCGCTCCAAATCCATCAACAGTCCCAGGGCACCCGGCCATGTGGCACCACGGTGGGAGGTGAGGGCGCAGCTGTAGCTGATGATGTCTGGAGGAAAGCAGAGATGCAACCTAAGATGGGCGGAATTTCTTGCAGGATTTCAAGATGTTGGATAATCAATGATATTTATGGGCTCCGGATATAACCTTTCATATGATTTCTACGCATTATTTTTGAACATATAGGCCTTGAAGATTTAGGGGTACTTTAGATTCCAGAAAGGCTTGCGCAGTATTCCTTGGGGATGTGCAAGTTTCCTTTTAGGTTTTAAGTGAAGCTTTTGGGGATGTACAATTTTCTGTTTGGGGAGGGAAACCTTTCCAACAAATAAATAGTGTTCCTTTCCAAATAGAGGGCAGCTGGGCTTCTTTGCAAAGAAGTGTTGCAATCTTGGCTGTAAAGAAATGATATACACATGGTGTTACTTTCAAATGTAGAGGACAGCTGACGTTCTTTGAGAGGAGTGTTACATCTGTAAACAATACCCTGCATATTCTGCGACCTTGTTTTCGCTTGTTCAAACAAGTTTGATCAAGATTGCAGCTTTTAGTTATATACGTGTTCTTCTTTGAAGAAACGCTATCCATGTGGGGGAATGTTAACAATATTACCATTATAAAGAAAGAAAACAGGACCGGTCGTACCGCTGCACTTTAAAACACAACGCGCGAGGACTCGAGAACTCCAACCTTCGCAGGTGACGTCCTTTGGAGGTGGCTTGGCAACAGCCAACTGGTGGGAAATATTCTCCATCATCCTGCATCACCGTCAACATGATCCATGGGGAGGGTGATCAATACACCACAATTTCAGCCTCAAATAACGAGTGAAACCCTCTAAATGACTCTAAAACGTGAAAACCCTACCAGTTGTCCCGAATCTTCGAGATTCACGGCCAGGTCACTGATGCAGTGCAAGTTCCCAATCTCTTCGAGATTCTCCTGACATGACGCCCTTGAGTGGCTAAGCGAAACACCCTGTAAGAGACGTCCAGAAGAACTCCATGGTGCTGGCCTAGGAATGGAAAATAAGCAAAGGTCACCTGAAAATGGCAAAAACTTTGCGTGGACCTGTCCTCGTGTGTTGCACTATCTTAGTAAGATAGTAGGACTTTGTCAAAATCGTGCAGAATTTACTGGGTTTCGGTTCAAACACAAACGACTTTTTTTAAATATTGTGGTGTCAACAGATTATGTCTTTCTTGAGCTACTGTACAAGACAGTTCAGCTCGTCCGAATTGATCATGCCCACTCTGATCTGCGTGTTTTTGAATGTGTGTTTCTGTCCTGCCAAGGCGTTCATGAACGCATTTTTGGTGATCAATGTGTCCTGTCACGTCCCAAGGGCAAAAGGGCGAGTTTCAGACTTACTTGAGGCCTGCACGCCTCTATAGCATGTCGCTACTGGCAAAACGAGTATTATTGCCATGTGCTGGGAGCTGGCCATTGGACCCATGGCCATCATTTCTTGTGACTCCTGTTAAACCAGTGAAAGAATGATACCTCTTGATACCCTACATCATGTGGCTGTACAGCAGCATGACGTAACTCAACGTAACTCATGGGATGCTCCAGGGATTTTCTGAGGTTCAACCTCACCCACCTGCACTGCTGACAATCTGCCAGCCAGCCAAATTGAAGCAGCTTCCAGCCATGCCAAGCTCTTGCTGCAGGCACCTCTGGCGCCACATGCTATCGTCTGGTAATCTCACCTGGCACTAGAACATCCTCACATTTGTATCCATTCATATCGTTTATAAACTGTTTATAGCGATTGATTTTTATAAGTCCCTCTATATATGGTAACTGTTTTAATCAGGATTTTTACCCGTGGTTTTGAATCCATTTGAACAATCTCCTCATTTCATCATTTTCTTATTCCATTGTTTCCTTTGACACAGAAAAACGGCCGACAAGACCACCAACTTAGATGAGCAATGCAATTAATTAAGTCAAGTAGTCAGTAAATTGCTAATCCATGCTCCATCATCGAATGTTGTCTTATTTATATCGATGGTTCCTAACCACTTAAACAAACTAACCCCTTGGCCCAAGATTGCAGCTGGCCATGGCGCTGACGCAGCTACTCACTGAGACCACATCCAGCTGCAGCCGCTGCAGCGCTGCGCCACGCAGCAGGGCCACGGCCCTGCACCAAACGTGGCTTTTCTGCGAGGCGTCGATGCAGCTGTTGAACGCCACCAGATCTGCGGGAAGCTCCAACCTGTCCAAGCAAAAGGAGTGGACATGAGGATTTCACTTGATTTAGGGAAGAAAAACATATGGCAAAACTAGATGAAACAACTACATACAACTACAACGAAATTATGAGTCCAATGGATCTTGTAAATTCGACATATTCAACAACTGAACATGCATGAACAGTGCGGTGTGAACCAACAAGCATGAGGGTTCAACCAACGAATGTTCTTAGGGGGATTGGCTGGGAGTGGGAGCTGCATGGTAGCTTAAAAAAAAACTTGTATAGTTGATTTACATTCACCCAAAGGCCCCGTAGATATCGTCGGCTGATTCGATTATGTTATAAGTTACATACATATATATAATTATATATATATAATGATATATGATTGCTATCTATATGTCTATCTATCTACATGTCTATCATTTGGTTTGGACAAATGATGGTCAATCAACCAGCCACTTTTTTGGGGCACCGTTGGGGTCATATCCTGGGGAACGCTCTCAGCATTTTTGTCGCACTGGGGAACCTGGAAAGCCCCAGCTGCCATTGGATTCCCCGCCCACAGGCTGACAGCAAGGTGTTGTTGATGATGTTATCGCTCTGGAAGCCTTTCGCACTCAGATCTGCCAACCTACACCATGGACAACCCGTCCCAGAAAGATCACTATGTGGGCTCATTGGCGAGTAGGGTTTGAAGTAAAGCACAGAGACTAGGGTATGAAACAAAAACAACTAGCAACCGTACAAGGGCAAAGTATGGAAAGCAAAGTTTTGGTAAAATCTCACGAATTGAATCTCCAGTCATCTCACTTTATACGTTCCTCTCTTGGAAACACGGCGGCAAAAGAACATCATGGGCATCTTCCACTGCCAGGTTTTAAACAATTCCAGAGGGAACATCTTAATTAAACTACTCATATCTGAACTTTGACAACCCTGCTAAATGTTGTTAGTCGCTAGCATTTTGCCCCAGAAACAACTAGAAATCCACCAGGGCTCACTGTTCAACAACCATCAATCACCAAGCAGCAAGTGCGCGGCTCGGCACCATTGATCAGCTTTGCCAAGAGCAGAGGTCAAAACACCCACCGACGCAACATCACCTCGATGACACCGCCCCAAGGCTTAAAAATTACATCGTTATACCCTCTGGTGTCATCAAACGTGGCTGGACAATCACCCATTGAGGATTTCCATGGATTTCCCCCATTTTAACCTCCATTTAGTGGGATTTTCCAGCTAGCCACGTTTGATTTCCAGAGGGCAATCAGCATTGTCCGCAACTGAAATGGCCATTTTTTTAGTAGTAGACTACCAAGCCGTTCTGTGCTTAACATTGCTTAACTACGACAAAGCCATATAGATATTTGGTGGTTCTTGGAGAATTTCTCGGTTCAGCTGCCATGTAAAAAAATCCGGGACTACCAGGACCAGGATGAGGATTCAGCAGTTTTTTTAGCGCATCAAATCTGGGAGATTTCGTGGAAGCGCTTCAAAAATGTGGATGCCAATGGATGCCCTTGGCGAAAACACGTTTCGTGCCGCAGCAAACTCCACATATTTCCACATTTCAAAAAACGTAGCCGCAGCAAACTGAATATACTGAATCTCTAGGCTAAACTCCAGGCAATGTGCATGGTAACAATCACTACATCTTAGGCTTGCCTGAAAGAAACCAACACTAGAATTTTGCATGTAATGTTCATTATTTTTCCCCTGTGCTTGTGACAACAGACCCAAAATGGTCACTGGAAGGGGTTCCTACAGTAAGAACCATTAATCATCACTTGCACGTCATGACTCATGGATGTCCGTCTTTTAATATACATTCAAATGCTATGATATATGATCAGCTGTAAAGAAAAGAACGCGCAACTATGCCAACCGCATCCAACTGCAACCTTCTTGATAGTACCAATGGGTTTGATCATGGTTCAATGCACATTATATTGGAATGGCCTAATTTTGGATCATATGACGTAGCCCATGACTTAGGAAAGCTCCATATATCCCCTGCCGAAGGACTTGACACTCCACGGCCATGGACTTGGTGAAAGGAACCCAGAGCAAGCTGCCAATCCTCCCCCGGAGTGAGATGTCCATCTTTTTCCAGAAGCGAAATCCCCACAAATCCTAGGAAAAAAAAAGCAAGCAATGTAACAATGTAGGATATTTGGAGTGTTTTGGATGGTTTCCGGACCCAAATGTGCTGCTTCCGGCTCCAAACATACCAAGCATGTGACACCCAGCATGCGGTCCGAAGTGGAAGGGACCCTGCCGCCAGCAACCGCCAGCCATTTTCGCATCAACGTTGCGGCGATCAAATTGATAGTTCACATATGAGGAGTTCATACAGGGCGTTGAAGTTCGTGAAATAAATTTGAAATAAGCCACATAACAAGAAATACAGTCTGCCAATAACTTACTGGTGCTAAACGAAGGGAATGAGAGAATGATCCATAATCATCCCATTCCCCGATTCCCATCCATTCCCGACTAAGCACCCGTAGCACTAAGAATGATAATGAATTAGGAAGAATTAGGACCATTTCCTGATTCTCCAGGTACCTGTGCCCAGCCAAGATCGAAACCATGAGTGCAAGCATAGTCATTTGTTGGAGTATGCTGACATGATCAGTCAAATAAATTATGTCGATGAGCAGGTATGATTCATATGTTTCATATGATGGGTATTGAAAAGGCATAAACTTTGGAACGCGCACTACCGCAGTTTCCTGCAGAGGCACAACTGCTTCAAACGTTTGAGCCAGATCCAGGCACTCGGAATGCATCCTAGTAATCTCCAGGAATCGCAAGTGGCATCAAGTGGCAAATTTAATATATTTACCAAAAAAAAAATCATATTTCCACGAAGCATCACCCACTGAAAAACCCAACGATTACCATGGGAACGTCCCAATGGCGCCTATCTGTTCCACCAGCGCCTTCACAGTTTCATCCCCGCCGCCTGGCACATTTCGTTCGATGTTTTAGCGATGAAAAGCGGTGATTGCCCATAGTTATGGAACTTAAGTTGTCAAAGGGTATTGACATATCTATATATATATATATGTATATATAAATGTATATACATATTTATGTATGTGTGTGTATGCATAAGTATATACATACATAATACATGTATGTATTGATGCTTTTGGTGTATCATTTCTCAACCATGTTGAATCCATACATCCATCATTGAAGACATTTAAGACTTACAAGCATGATTACACCAACTATCACCCCAGGAAGGAAGACAAACCCTGACCAATTGGACGAAAAAACACAAAGAATTGCAGCTGTTGCTAAATTTTATCATATATCTTTGCCACTTAAACGATTCGTTTCTGTTTTCAATCCATCCTCTGCACAATCCTGCACATATGTGTTTGTAACATGTGCTTACACATAAGCATGCGCACACATAATTGTACCATATACATATACACATTAATAAATGTACGGGTTTAAAAAAAAATCATTCCACTATGCTGGTTTCTCTTCAGGGATTCCTACCTCATGGATGATGATCATTCCCATTTTTTTCGGGGTAGTATAACCTCCCAACTCATCATGAAAATCACCAGGGATTTTGCCGCCGTTCAACTGGACGCCCGCCTTCCCCCATGGCTCCCCGTTACGCAGCTCTCCGGCGGTCACGGGTTCACACAGGTTCTTTGCAGCTGATGTGGGCTAAGAATTGCATCAGAAGTGATCAAGCAACCTGTAGCACAGAAAGGTTTGAAACCACATCAACATATCTTTCCGTTTAGACACAGAAAAAACCATAAACATCATAAACAGTAAGGTTCGCGATGCTCATGTGTTTTGGTGTTCTGCTTCCAGCGCAGCAGAAAAAACTGATGATTTGTATCGTGCCGAAAGGGTGCCGGTAGGTGCAACTGCCAGAATGGAGAAAGCTGCAGTGCTGAGGAATCAACCGTGGGGGCTGTCTTAAACGAAGTTGGAAATCACCAAAAACCTATGTTTTTAAATGGTTGAAATTGACTTCAAACATCTTCAAACATTATTTTCCCATCATCGGAATCGTTATATCACGGAATGTCCGCTGTTTTCGGATATAACCAAATATGAATCACCTAAATACCGCACACTCTGGCACAGCCACCTTGGGTCGAAGTAGTGGGGGTCGCCATGACAAAAACTTGAGATAAATGGATGTAAATAGGAGGGATAGGAGAGAAGCCTCTTCACCCCCCAAAACGCCACAAACATCCAATTCATAGATGTCTCCGTTTTCCTTCCCAAGGAAAGCCTTAGTTGGTGGTTGCAGTTCGAACAAAAACACCAATCTTTCTCTGGAATTCGAAGCATAAATAGAAAGGACCTGAAATGACTGGAAATATCAATGAAATATCTGGAGATATCTTGAAACCACCAAGCAACTAATCGCTGGGAGTGAGACACGCTAACTAAACCATATCTACTGGCACCGTTTCGGCACCCGCCGTGCCAACAGGCTGTACAGCCGGCGGGCTGCCACCCAACTGCACAGCGCTTCCTGGCGGGTGAAATTTAAGTCTTCTGAAAGGGTGACTAATTAGTATGAATACCCAAGTGACATAGGCACAAGCATAGCCTACGAAAGTGCATGTATGATGATATGTTTTTGTTGGGGTTAAATTTGTACACACACACATATATATATACATTAATTATATATATACATATGCACACAGTCATCGAAAACAAATAAAACTGCAACTTGTTTTGCATTGTTTATTCCATTTTATTCCCAACAGCGAATCTGTTGGGTTTTCTCTGGGGCCGGGGATTGGTGACACGAAAATGCACGCTCCGAAGAACCGGAACAGTCCTGGAACCTTGCTGGAACCTTTCGCTGTTGGGTCGCAAAGCTGGGCTGATTCATCCTTTTAGAGTACAGCAGTGCCCCGCACGTAGGTAAACTGGCTTTTGACTGAGAAAACTGTCGGCATTAATTATCATGGATATGTTGTTTTTTGCTACAGGCACATGGAAGCAATCGCTGCGGCCTTGCAATGTCCCGTTGAATTCTGAAAGGTTCCCTCCAGCCCAAATTATCCTACGGTGCCTCTCTGATATGTAATATATATATATATATATTGCGATATACCTATTCTCTTGGCCGAGGTTGAAACCTAGTTTATGACTGGGAGCCCGACATTGCAAGGGTTGCAAGGGTTGCACGTATGTATATTGCATATTATCTATAGGGCGTATATGAACCATCATCCCGCAAATATGCTTGGACCACCATGACCACCAAGCAGTATACATAGCACACGTTGCTGAAGGATATTGCAGGCTAGAAGTCCCCATCACGAGCGTTAATCTTGGTATAGATGATATTCTGGACATAGTTATGATAAGCCTTCCCATGGAGTAAAACAAACCAAACAAAAAAACACCGAACACCTCCCACACCTTTGCAATTGCCAGTAAGGAAATCTTTAAGGTAAATTCTCAAAGTACACTCGTTGGTTGACTCACCCCCTAACAAAAAATAGAAAACAACAACAGCAACAACAACAAAAACATATAAAACATAATCATTGGTGATCATGATCAAATAACTTGTTTTCATTGCATTTAAAACATGTCAGACCAGCAGTTGATATCATGGAGTTTCAGCTAAATCCCCCAATCCTAGATTCCTAGATGCTTAAGATTTGCCCAGAAAAAGGGGTTGTTGCTGGTTCATAGGCCCTGCATAAACTTGCTTGGGGAGTTGGTTGAATCCCCATTACATCCCATTATATCCGACAAATGTCCATTAGATCCCATGAAAACCCCAAAAAAGCAACACTACACTCCATCAAATCACCAGTTTACCGCATCAAATCCCATCAAATCACCATCAAATCCCATTAAATCCCCATGAAATCCTATTAAATCAACTTTCAATTCCATAAAATCACCATTAAATGCCATGAAATCCCCATGAAGCCCCCCGTTCATCCCTGAGAAAGCCCGCACCTTAGCGCTTGGCGCGTTGCCCCACGCCACTTTTGGGCTGAACCTCTGAGGCTTGGACCTTGTGGACAAGGACCTTGGAGCTCGGCCGGCGGCCGGAAAAAATTCAAGCAGTTATACTATAGGTGAGGCTTCCGGCACCACCAGAAAATACGTTGGCAACTCGGCAACTGTGAACATTTTTCACCCCAAACTGTTTGGGGATAACCGCAACCTTGGGATAAAACATAGATGTATAGATAAGTTGACGCACAATTTATGGGTTCTTCACGCTTGGGTTTATGGAGGATATACAGTACAGAACTAATTCATGGGTTTATAAATCAACTTATAATTGTTAGCGGGATTTAGTCGTTAGTTAGTGAAAATGAAAAGAACACACATATATATAGTCATATAGTGAAATAGTCATATAGTGAAACTGATGGTTTGATGGTTCACGCTAACAAAATCAACTCCAATGGTAGTTCTTGGCTTTTTTTGGACTCTAAATTGACTTCAGCCTTTTGGTTTGGAATACCAAACGGCAAGCTGTCGCACAATTATGCCGTGAAGCTGTGGTACATTCAGTTAGATTGAAAATGATTGTTTTCCGTAGCTATGTAACAAATTTCCGGAGGGTAACTCGAGTTACATTGATCAAACCCTATATTTAAATATATTCAAATAACATATATAATGTTATATATAGCGAGAATATTATGGATGTAAGGGGGATTGAACCATTGAATATGCAGGGGGTGTTTTTATAATCTGGGAAACTAAACGAATCTACGGTTTCTTATGTTGAAGAAACTGTATATACTTATGCCCTCCTCTAAACGTTTACATAGATGTATATATAGAGGCCACCATTTGTAGAATCATTTTCCTAGGGAAGCCAAGGGTTGTCAACATGTTTAACATGTTCTAGTAGGTTTACCCTAAGGTAAGCTATAAAGGATTCAAACCATGAGATCTCCTTCTCCCTCCATGGGAAATCCGGGGAATGGAAATTGCACCATTTATTGATACTTTACCCAGCTATAAACATCCATTTAGTTCGAGGATTTCACATTGCCACGTTTGATTACCTCGGGATAAATATATTTTTACCGTGAGGATAAATGTACCACACCAAGCAACTCCTGTCCATTGACATGATATGGAAGAAACACTTTGACCACCGTTTGCAAATCATTTTCCTAGGGAAAAGAACACTGGATTTCCATATCAAGTCAGCTTAGCAAAACGCAAGCCTGGCGTGCAAATACTAAAGTTAATATGAGCAGCGTTCAAAACCTACCCCGCACCGCATTACACGGGTTAGGAATGGGATTCCCATAAGTTGATATCAATGGGATTCCCATAGGAATATAATTCTTGAAATAATCATCAACCAACACGGCATTGTTAATCATAATATGTTTGATGGTCGAGGAAGGAGAAAAACAAAACATTTAAATGATGGTTGCATCCCTTCAAATCACTTTCTAACCGTGGATTTCCCAATCTTTCGAAGCTTGAAAACCCTCTAAATGATGGTTGAATTTCCATTAAATAACCGGACTCTGATGAAGCACTGAGTGTCAAACTCCCTTGGGCAAAGACGGATGGTTTTGCTCATGTCCTCTGCTCCAGTCATAGGACACAGCGTACGCCTGGGCGCACAGCCGAGCTGTCTCAGGATGCTGGAGGAGTGTTGAGGTACTTGGGCTGTGAATGGGCTTAAACTGTTTAGAAATGTGGGTTTACCCTCCCAGTTGCTACTTACTTTGATAGCAAAACCCAGATTGACGTTTGATATCATTTGATCCTTTTGTGTTCCCTATCCAATTCACTGACATGGCGGCATTGCTCAACGAACTGGTATCTTACAAATTTGGAGACCTGTTCTCCATTCTGGTATATTATGGTTATCATTTGAGAATCAGGTGGAAATTACGGTCTAACAGCAATGTTCAAACACAGGCAACCAAAGATGGAAACTCAACACTCCCCAAGGTGGCTAGTTCCATAACTCCCGGGCACGCACGATAGTGGGTCTGCGATCAAGTTGCATACATGTCTCCACCAGCCTTGGTAACCCAATCTAGGGATAGCAGCATCGCACTCACCAAACAAACATCGTCGGAGTGCCTTCATGGATTCTTTCATGACCTTGATTGGCATTCTGTAGAGAAATCATGAATTCAATGATAAACATGAACTAACCATGAACAACATGCAATATTAATCATTAATCATCAAGTCCACAGGCGTCCACAGGCGTCCACAGGCGTCCACAGGCGTCCACAGGCGTCCACAGGCATCCACAGGCGTCCACAGGCGTCCACAGGCGTCCACAGGCGTCCACAGGCGTCCACAGGCGTCCACAGGCGCAGTCCGCGAACAATGAGCTCCCTTGGAGGGGATGCTCATCCAGATTCATGTACGGCCGCTAGGCGTTTTTTTTGTTTCAATGTTATTGGCTATGCACTATATCATATACTATCATCACTATCTATCAGTTATTTTAGATTATTTTAGTATCTATAAAACTCTATATAATATTATAATGGCCGGTTGTAGCAAGTTGTCAACCTAAATCCCAAGGAGAAGCGGCTTCGTTGCGGGGCTGATGAATCCAAGCGTCATTAAACTTCCCAGCAGTAATGGGATAGTGGCACGAATTGAAGGCCTTCAGCCGTTGTCCTCAGGACCGGATGTCAGCGTTGGGATGGCATCGGGGGGCTCAAGATTCTAACCCCAAAGCACGGCCCCGAGAGAGCCCTCTTTGACACGACCCAGGGTGACTCAGGAATGGTGGGGCTTTGCAAGCTCAGGTGAATAACGAAGTCAACAGACTTACAGTAAGTAATAGAATAAAATCGCAGTGTCTACCACCCAAGTGCTCCACTGGCAGTAGTGTATGGTCGTGTCTGTGGTGTGCTAGTTCTACCTTACCTACTGTTGGGTCGTTTAGAGGGGAAATGCAAACAGCTCTTCATCAGCATGTATCAGTCGGGTCAAAACATGTTTTGGAGACCATTCCATTTCGAATTGTATTTGAGCCAAGATAGCCAAGCATAAACGGGAGAGCTATCATGCTATCCTCAGGTAATAATCAAACATTGCAGTCTGTGATATGGCAATTGGGATGTCGAATTCCCCTTTTTAAAAGCTGCTTTCCAACACACATCAACACATGCTGAAGAGCCCATTTCTGCTCCCCCTGACTTGATTAAATCCACTGAGCCACTGAGCAGGGCAATATAGTACGTAGAGAATCCCCATGGCAACAAATCAAACTACAACAAACACATTAACAGATTAAATCCTTAAAATAGGATAAAATATGTTAAAATCAAATAAGGTACTGACCCTTCCAAGGTCTAGACAGTAAACCACGCTCATGTGGCCATCCCTATCATCACCTTCCGCTTTGTCGCGAGCGTCGGTTCTCCTTGTCCCAACAAACGAAGGTTCCATCACCGCCGCAGGTGGCGAACGTCCTCAAAGAACCCATCGCTTGGGTCCACGTGAAGTCAGAGGATTTCATGGGGATTAAATGGTTGTTCAGCGCGCTTAGTTACCATCAATGAAGATATATGGCCAATGTACAATAGCTGGTTGGTGGTATACCTACCCCTATGAAAAATATGAGTTCGTCAGTTGGGATGATTATTCCCTATGGAAAAATAAAAACCATGATCCAAACCACGAACCAGTCATTCAAAATTGGGATTCAAAGGGGGTTAACCATGGTTAACCATCAAACATGGGCTTCAAATGGCTGGACAGTTGGACTCACATCTGAACGTGGTGCTCGCCCGGCTCGCCGAGTCGTCTTCGGGATCGTGCCGTAACATCAAGCAAACACCCCGGAAAAAAACGCTTACAGTTACATGTTGCGGTAGGAATAATTATAACAATGTAACATGTTACTGTAACATAAGAAACTATAATATATATATATACATAAAAAATATATAATATACAGTTTCCTTAGTCAAGAATATGTTACTTTTTAATAGAATATATATATATATATAATGATTAATTCTATAGCAATTCAATGCCATCCGCATAGCCAGAGTTTTTCTACGACCTCTCAGGCGGCATCGGTTGCCAAGAGGCCCCATCTGCGGATGAAAGTCAATGTCATTTACCGCATAGATTTCGGTGTTGGTTCGATGACACCTCAAACAAAAAAACAAAAATTAACAAACGAAAACACAGAATGAGATTTTGGAGGGGTTGAGGCTCTGCTTGGATTAACAAAAACACCAACGAAGTTTCAGGCAGTACGCGCAGGGATTTGCACTATGTACTTGGATGTGCAATAGGATTAGCTAGCTGGCTAGAAACAGGGACATGACTCATATGACCCATTCAAAGCGACGGTGGTGAAAACCCGGTTAAAGCCAGGTACTACGGTACTACGCTCCAAAATCATCCAAATCGGTGCGTCTGAAAATATCCCCCCTTCCAAAAAAAACATGAATTTTCCCGCCACCACTGAGGGTGAATCCACCACGTCAGAGACACAGACACCCAACAAAAAGCCCGGCAGCCCTGACGGCCACGGCCACGGCGCTTGAAGGCAAAGTTCTTCGAGGTGTCCTCGATGTATGCAATGGAGCAGCGCCCCTCAACAGATCCAACGGCATAGCCCGTCTTGTCCGGAAAGGCACCTCGATTCTCATGGCGGTGACCCACGGTGACCCTAAGTGCAATGTTCCAAGTCGGCCAAGTACTTGCTTGAAGGGAAATGCTTGGCTTACATCATTGGAGTCTATGGAACTCTATGGGTTTCCTGCCTTCCCTCAAATGCTGGGACAAGTGCCAAGTGGTCAGTCACTAAAGCGCATGTAGAATGTAGAACATGTTACAATGATGGATGTGTGAACGCCCGAACAAAAGCATCCTAGATTCGACTTGGGATGAAATCCACCTGAAGCATTTCATAAGAATGAGCACCGCTTCTAGGACAAGAATTGAGCTGCACTTCTAGAAGAGAAGTTTAAGTTGGGCAAACACGCTCCATCACGTTCCGCTCGAAAATATGTGAAACCTCGACTCACTGCCGCGATGCCACAAATAAGTTGCTTGCCCTACCTCCCCCAACAAAAAAGATACATCAGTGATCATCAGTGGTAGACTTTCAGGTTCCAGCAGGGTTCGATGGACTTATATTGCACCTCTGCATCCTCGTTGCCTCTGCACATCTGCTGAACATGTCTGATTCATAGGATTAGTTACTTCAGTCATCTTCAGTCATGCGACAAATTGCTCGCGTCTGCATCTTCAGAGCAGTCTGACCCTGCTTGTAGGGCTGTGGGTTCTGCTGAATTGCCTGCAAATTATAGACCAGCCTGAGCTGTTTCAGGACTTTTTTTTGCTTCAGTGGACAATTGCAACATGAACAACCTAGAAGCAACCAATGTACTTTGCAATACATGGATGGTATGCATAAATAAACCATTCCGAATTGAAGATTGATTAATTATCGGTAGCCTACCCCAAAAAAAACAAACTTGGCAACAGCTCCTTCAACATCACAGACCTTTCTCAGTGTCAACGCAGCAGCGCAGCAACAAAACTCTCAAACCAGCAACTGGCATGAGTTATCCTTCGGGACCTTTACACACTAAGTGAGGATACATGAAAACAAATTGGGATTCGTGTTATCCTTGGAAACTGTCCATTCACCCATCAATTTCTGTGGAATGTGATGCTGGGGGAGAGGCACAGAAGTCCATCTCTCACAATCCACCATCTACCAGCATCAGCTAGAAGCCAACATGATGAACATTCCACCACACATACAGCAATGAGTGACATGATTACTATTATAATCCAAATAACTATGGCGACTATGAATTCATATATAACATTATATAACCCTGCGTATGCGATGTCAGTTCTCTGCAGTTTTCTTGGATGCTTCTCACAGAGAAACCGTGGCTTTGACTCATGTAGTCACCGAGTTGCACATGCCTCTCAGCACATCCCACCACCAGCAACGGGAATTTGACGTCCATTGTGTAGACACCTGGGAGTTTTGCAGGTACAAGCAAGTTTGGTTGGTGGTTTCAACCCATCTCAACAAATGCTTGGGATCATCGTGCTGATTGATTTGTTGAGGGTATACCCCAGAAATAGTGAGACCCTCTGGTAAACATACAAAAAGCTATTGAACATGACCATTTATAGTGGATTTTCCCATTAAAAATGGTGATTTTCCATAGTTATGTAACAGTTTACCAGAGGGTAATAGTTACTTAAATGGTGCTACCCCCCAATGACGCAGCCTGGTTGACATTCATCCAGGCTTGACTCTACAGAATTCGACCTGTCCACTTGATTCCACTTGCAACATGTTGCAACTATGCACAGCTAGGTCACTATGCACCATTACAACAACTGGTAACCACCTTAAGAACCACTAACTTTTGAATTTTGGGCTTATGAACATCATAAAATCTTGGCATTTTTTTTGGCCCACCTTCGGGTTTTCCAGCCCCTCACATCCCTGCTTGCAGCGAGGCTCGCTCCGGTAGTTGCAAGGTGGCCACAGGCGTTGGTTGCTGCAGGTTCCAGAATCCTGGTGATCGGATTCGCCCCCCCCAAAAATCGTGGCTTCGAAGCCATCTATAAATGTATGCATACATGGATGATAACCTGTATATCTTAGTATTCAACTACTATAGATGATATTCGTATACATGTATTCAACTTATATATCTTAGTAGCTTACCAACCAATGAGTTGGACGATCCATCTTCCTATGGCTGCGACAGTCCACAGGATTGCGGCCCAAGCTTCGGTCGTTCAATTCTGGAGATCTACCCATGGTATTCCATATTAGTTATAAGGACTATGGCTAATATCCCAACCTATTGGGGGTTATAATTATAACAAGTTATAACCATGGTTTTAGCCCTAAGAAGATCAAGATCGGAAGATCGGACCAGGCCCGAGGGCATAGCTTGCCTGGTTTTCAAGTTTAGTTTCCATGGTCCGTCACCAAAAATCCTCCAGAAACTATCCCTAACCCACAGATGGTGCAGGATGGTGCAGGTTTCCCAAGGGGACGGCGTCACCAATGAGTTCCCTCCCAACAGCTGTTCTACAGTCGTTCCGTTCACGTTGGAAAAACCCATTCTGGTGCTGATGTTCGTACACTCATTCCAATGGTCCAATAGGCAACCCCTTACCTGGAAGCACATGGAAGTTATACTGGTTTAGTACAACTGGTTGGTGGTTGAGCCACCCCTCTGCAAAATATGAGTTCGTCAAATGGGAGTATGATTCCCAATATATGGAAGCACCCTGATCATGTTTAGTATCTCATAGGATCCATGTATGGAATATTTACCAACATTTACCCCATAAATGACCCAAATGTAGGTAAATATACCATACATGGAGCATCTGGGTATGGTTTTGTACTGGATCTATTTAGGATCTCTCGTAAAGGGTCAACTTCTTGACCAGGCGGATCCGGATGGGATCATATCATTCCCCCCAGTCCGGTCGCCAAGAAACGCAGAGTCCGGTCCCAGCTGCCAGAAACGACCATGTTCATTTCCTCAACTGTCTGGCCGTGCCAGTGTCCTTTCTGCTGATAATTCTAGATGTAATTCATATTAATCATAATTACATAAAATTCCCAACATACCTGATATATATATATATTTATAATGGTATGTTGGTAATTAATATATGATCGAACATAATTACCAACATACCTGTACCACCTCTACTGCCTTGACCACCTTGCGGTAAGACCGTTTCTGGATCCTACTGGACTAATCACCTTTTGTCGCCCTGGGACCCTGGGATTCACCCACGTTTTTCATGACCATTTAACCGTTGAACGGGCTTCAACCGCCGGGAAAACCTGAGTCCAACGCTTAATCCTCAGCTTTGTTGCTCAATCAACCAGTCAACCACCGGGGTCAGAGAGAAGCCCAGAGAACCGACATCAATAGATTGGCATCCATTGATAGAATTTGTATTATTTGTATATCATAAATATATCATGTCACAACTGGGATTTCTCAGGAGCATTTTTCGGACATACCATACCCATAAGATCCCATTAGTGATGTATTTCTTTGGTGATGTTTCAATCACGTAAGTAAGTTTACCCTCTGGTAAATGTTTACATATTTGTGGAAAATCCATCCATTTTCAATGGGATTTGTATCAACTATTTCGACTGGGCCATTTTCAATAGCTATGTTAAATTACCAGAGAGTAATCATAAATTACAATATTACAATATGATTACAATACCATAATGGATTAATATCATGTACTTGATATTTCATATTGCATTTCATAAATTACCATACAAGGTGGGGCCCCCAAGATAGCTAAGTTGGTTCATGGTACTTATAACTATAGTTAATGGGGTGTATAAACCAACTTATAACTGGGGGAACCCACCTTGTATTGTATTTCATAAATTACCATACACTGTCATCATCAACATACTTCGGAGATCACCAAAAGAGTGGCTGGCCCAAGGCGCATCCAACACGAAGACCTCCTTCACTGGCGCGTCATGTTGTCCTAGGTGCCGGCTGGTCATCCTGTTCGAGGGGACAACCAACGAAGGGCATGTGAACATGATGATGTAACAACAATAAACATTGCAAACCAATAACAAACATAATAGTAAGCTACTGTAGTACATGTCAGCTAACCCTCATCACCACAGTATATAATGCAACTGTGATCAATGGTGAAAGTAATAAATCAATACTGGTAGTGATATATTAAACACATCATAATAAACATCACACCGACATTAACATTAAGAACTTAAGTTCAATAACTACATGTCAGGATGCAACTGTAGCAGGAACCAATATGGCACAAGGAAATCTATGTGTAAGATACATCACATAGGAAAAAATACAAACACAACTAACACCACCAATAAAGCATTTGGGAAAACATAGGTTTCCTCTTGAAATCTCCAGATTTCGGAACAATTTTGGGTTTTAAGATCCTGGAAATCTCAAACCAAACGTAGTTAAGCCATGTTAAACCTACCTTGGGTGGTTTCCTGGCCATCAATTCGGGTGAAGTCATTGTACGGACAGCCAAACAATTCATCATCTGTACATGGTATGAACACCCATTAATTGTTAAATAGGTTCCTTCTACCAACGCTATATATTTACCCTCCAGGAATCGCACGTGGCAATGGAAAAAAAACATCATGAAATTTAGTTCGATGTTGCTTTCATTCAATTCCCCATGTTTGTTGAGGATTTCCCAGCCAACCATGTTCGATAAGTAGGTTGATTCCATTTCCCAGAAGTCTCAGTTATGGTCGGTTAAAGCACTATTAAATCCAACAAAATCCGCAGTAAATCACCATCGTTCATAGTTAATCAGCATTAAATCACGACTAAAATCAGATATTAAATCAGTGAATCACCATTTTGCTCCGATTTCATCTGATTTTGCCCTTGCTCATCCTTGCTCCGCGCTGTGATGTGAAACAGTGGGTCGAGAGGCCGATCTGTTGCTCTTGCTGCGTCTGAAGGACCTTCATCTTCACCTGTCATAACACCCGCTCCATGTGGCTCTAAAAAATGGATTGTATATCTATCTATCTATCTGTCTATCTGTCTGTCTGTCTGTCTGTCTATCTATCTATCTATCTCCAGCAAAAATATGTATTTGCATATATATATATATATTATACATACAATATTTGCTGGATTGTTTTACTTTATCTGAAAGTTGGCCATTTTATTTGGGTCTTCAGAAGCCCGCACTGTGGGTAATCCAGGCCTTGTTGTCACAGCCGCCGCTGAAGATGCGCTGCCCATCCTTCGAGAAAGCACAACACAGCACCGGCGCCTCGTGGTTGTAAGCCATACCTGAGGGGCGGCGCTTTTCCAGTGGATTTCATCCATTTTCGACGGTGGCCCCAAAAAAAACAACCATTGATTTTGGAGCAAACAATTTCTGTTGTATTTCTGACAGTTCGTGGTTTCAGTAGGAATGTGGCAATCCCCATGTCATGAACCCATCCCCCAATTTGATCAGATATGGGTATCTCTCTCTCTCTTTCTTTACCGCCATCTCAAATATGGGCATAATAGTGTATATATATAGTTTTATATATAATAGTAAACATTCCCAACTGGAAGTTTCTTCTTGACTTTGCCACATTAGATGGCCAGCATCGGAGAAACAAAAACAAAGACAACAGTTGCCTCAAAACAAAAATCGATATAGATTTCAACGAGCCCGGGGTCGATGAATCTAATGGGTTGTACAACTGGGCATTGCCTGCCACAAACGTGTGGGGCGTGGGGAATTCCAACCAACCTGACCTGCCGTTTACAACTGACTGAAAAAGGAGTAATGCCGCACATTGTACCTGAAATTAATGAGCCCTTCCCCCTACCCTCAAGTTTCATGGTGTTGAAATATATACATGGGCCAAAGTGTAACAGTAATGCAAATAAATGGACCAGATTGACAGATTCAGAGAATTTGAGAGACATGAGCTGATGCGGAATGAATGAGAATCAATGTTTAATAGCTAGTGACAGAACAGGATATGGACTCACTATATATGAAACATATTGTTCTATACATTCGCAATTCATAGTGCCTCCGAAAATCTGGATTGAAACACACTTACATTTACTATGGATAGAAAATTCTTAGATTCTCTGATTCGCAGACTGTATTGGCAGAGTGTTTACTAGCTATTGTCCATATCTATTGTCCATAGACAGTACTAGCTATTGTCCATATCCCTTGACATGATCTTGTCCTAAAAAATAGGCCTTAACTTAAAATGCTATATACTCCTCATATATACCTCCAATTTTTGGTTTCCTTTATTTTTTGCCTATTGATTTACAACAAGGGATAGAAACACACACCAACCAGTCAAACCAACCAGCTATAAATTTCAGTGACCGCCACGGCACGAGGAGCGATATTTTGTGCGGTGACCTCCCAAATCCGAACGCCTCGGGGAAATGCTACGCGACGCGGTGTTTGTTTGTGATGAGGGGATGGGGCCCGTTGGGTTGATATTTTTTGGGGAAAAAACAGGAAAAAACTGGAAAATGATGATTTAATATATTAATATTGAGATTTTAAGCAAGAAAATTATGTAGTTTACTTGGAATTAACCAAGAAAAATGGTGATTGAATGGGATTCCCGGGGTGAACATACAAAAAAATGTGGATAAGCAATGGTTTCCTTCGGAACATGATCTACATATCATTGGTTTTCCACATCTATGTAGTTTACAGGATGGTATTGACATTGATGATGACCTGTTGAGGAGGAGTTATGGAGTGGCTAATGTTTGGGATCAACCCTTTCCATTATTGGGCCACCCGACTGGCCAATACCTTGCCGACCTTGCCTTTCTTACACACCATGATGATCCATATTTGAGATCAGAAAGCAACCTAGACGTTTGCTTCACTGGAGATTCTTTCAAGGTGGTCCACCCCAGGCACCTAAAATCCAGCTCTTTGTTGTTGTTTGCTGGGCATATCCAATCCAATGATAGATGAAAAAACATGATATTGATACTGGTTGGTGGTTTCAACCCGTCTGAAAAATATGAAAGTCAGTTGGGATGATCATTCCCAATATATGGAAAATTGAAAAACGTTCCAAACCACCAACCAGGATATGCCCATATGTTTCCAGATTCATGACATGATTCCCCTACTATACCATGGGATATTCAACAAATACTCCATAGCCATATAGACATTGATATCTCACCGGGTGAGATATCCAAAAATGATATCAAAAAGCCCATATCATTAATTCTTATACCATGGGATATTCCACATTCTATTCATTCTATCACAGGATATACCATTTTGATATTCAACATTTTTGATATTCCATCTTTCTATGTCCATATTCAACAGATATTCAATTATTCAAGAGATTCCTCTGCTATTCCACTATAGATATTCCATAGATATCTCTAACCGAGCCACTCTTATCCCACGAGCCACACGCGAAGATGTTGGCTGCCGGAGACCATCTCAAACAGCTGATCGAATCGCTAGGGCCCTCCGGCACTGGAGCATCCTCCGGACACGCGGTCGCAACGGGACGGGGGGACGTTACTAACGGGAGTCATGTAAGGGATATGGCGGAGATGGAAATTAAGGGAGATTAAACGATATTAATAATTAAAAACAAACAATATAATAATAACACTAGTAATAAAAATAAAAATGATAATAATTAATAATTATATATATATATAATATGTATACTCATGGTTTACGGTCATCCCACAATGCGAATCCTTCGCTTGGGATATATATGATATACATCCATACCAATGGATTGATAACTCAACATGGGTGTACAATCCACCTGTTGACTTTTTACCATGGCTTGTGAACCGGTGACTGTATAGTTTCAACCACCTGGTGTTCCATTGCTACCTAGGTTGGTCTATGATACCAGGCTTAAGCAGGTCTTTTGGTGAATATCCAAGACATGATCTAATCTGATTCATCCTATCCCATCCTGTCTGAAGTTGGATAGGTTTGCAAACCAACTTGGAACTGGCACAGTTTTCCACGGTGGGAAGGCTCCTCCTTCCCGGTCCGTCCTGGTTGGTGTTGGGGTCCTTAATCTGCGGTGCGCCGCAAGCACCGAAGCCGCCCCCACAGGCACCGCAGCCACCGCAGCCACCCCCGAACCTCGATAACTATGTGATAATCCTGCTGGCTGTCAGTGGGGGGACAACCACAGTTACAACCTGCATCAATCAGATTTCCCGGCCGGAAATGTAATTTTGAACCCATCATCAGGTGATTACTATCATTATTGTTATTATTATTATTATTATTATATAATATTATTATTATTTATATATATATATATATCAATGCTGAAAGCTGGTTCGTTGATTTATAACTGTAAGCTGCCAAGACTAGCGATTGTTGCAAATGCATGGCGCCAGCTGGCTGGGCAAGACTAAACTTGGAAATACATGGAAATACGAGGGTGCCAACCTGTACTCTCTGGTAGTGTAGACCCCTGGTGCATACCCTGCGAATATTCCAATGGTTTTGAACAATGACAATGCTGATATTGGGAAGTTCACTTTTTATCACTTTTTTTGAGGTGTTAAAAACCCCATTGTTTTCACGCTCATGTTACCCATCTGTGCTTCAAATTCTGGGACATGTTGTCCCAACGCTGGGGGCTGCAGAATCCCCCCAGGAACCTTTAAAAATGGCCTTAACATGCCTTGAACCCAAATCATATCAAATCCCATGCCGTATATTTCGCACCTATGATATGTTTAGCTGCATTTAAGGGTCATTTTGGAGGTACATAAACATTTTTGGGAAAATCTCCCATACATTCTGGATGAATCGTAAAAAAATCCTTCCCCACAATGTGTTGGCCCACAGTTGAGTTGGTTTATAAGTAGTTAGGGTTTACGGTAGATATGTCGAAGTAGTTAACAGGTAAGTGGTTTTAACATGTCTTAGCAACCCATTCCAAAACTAATAGTACAGTAATCTCAACCAATCATCCCTTTTGTATGTTTGAAACACTAGAAAACACTAGAAAACACTTGAACCCCCCAATCCAATTAAGTAGGTTCAGCTTCAACATCACTAGGGGGCACCACGGCAGCCTTAAACGTTTAAGGACCCGACAGCCCACCCCCAGTGGAACCGAACAGGCCCGGCTGGCCCGTAGCGGCGCCGCCGAACATGACGGCCACGAGGGGCCTGGAAGAAATTGATCAATGGCTAAGGCGGCTAAGGGAATATCACCACATAGCCTGTAGTCAATGGCCATTTTTAGGAACCTAAATTGGAGGTACCTACCATATATAAGGCCTATATAAGGCCTATGTAAGGGAACATCCCCATAAAATATGGCCTTATATGGTACAGTACCTCCATTTTAGGCTCCTGAAATTCCCATTGATGTAGCCTTACATTGGCAAAGAACCTTGTCTCCTGGAGAACATGATGCATGGTCACTACCGGTACGTTCAGGATGTTAAACCATCAACTCGAACTACCCAGTTCAGGATTGAATGGCATTAACGTGGGTGGGTAGGCAAGTGCTTTGATTTGAGGTCCAAGATTGTAGTTATTGGACTTTTGCCAATTTTCTGGCAACGCTGATTTCCTCATGAATATGCGCTTAAACAGTAGCCTCATGATTTGACAATCTCCAAATGGAGTGGTCTTCGTGGCGAAATTCCAAGCCACCAACTCCAACCACCGAGCTGGTAACCATTGGTTGAGTGAATTCACATGGTTCCAATGGATTACCACCGAGCCGAAAAGCCCATTCCAAAACAGCCAGCTATTAAGGTGGTATACCCTGTCAGACACACCCACAGTAAAATATGCCCCGAAAATGCAATTCTTTATGAACTAAATTGACAGAACATAAACGCAGAAACGCACAAACTATGCAGGATAGTTGCGGATAGTTTATATTTCTCAAAATTAGTGGTTCAATAAATGCATGCCAAACATGATCAAACAATAATAAATGAGAAACATAACATCAAAGATACCCGTCCACCAAGCTCTACTAATCATTAACTGGCGGAATGGGTTGAAATTAAAAAGGGTGGACGGTACAGGATTGAAAAAGGTCAGAATCCATTGGTTACCATCATGTTCCACATTAAATGGCCCGTAACTTGGGAAAAATGATACTGACCCATTGGGGAAACACTTGATGTTGTATCATAGCATCTAAACACATCTAAACTATCATATACCCATGCAATCCCATGCATATATTTGATGATTTACTATTTGTTTTGTTTTTTTTTGGGGGGGTTGAACATACCTTGGAGCGCCATGGAAATCGACCCGACGCGCCTTTTTTCGGCGGAATTTCCCACGGCTTTGAACCAACAGATCCGCAGAAGCGTCCAAGGCTCACCAACATCATCACTTAGACATTGGTATATCTGAACACAGGATATACCCCCAAGTTTGATGTTTAAATATGCTTAAATAATATGGTTGGTACATGTTGGTACATGTAGATCCAAAACATGACCAAAACTTCAAATTTGCGGATGTTCCATAGCTTTCAGGCCTTAGGGCCGTAAGAGTCCGAAGCATATTGCGAAAGCCTTCTTAGCCCATCTTCGAAATGTTTTGCATTGATTTTCAAGAGAGAACATCGGTTGTTTGGTGCGACCACCCCACCAAATAGCTGAGTGAATTAAATCACTATGATTCACGGCAAAACGTGGACTGGGAGAAGTACACGGCTTTTAAAGCCATTGGACTCACAATTCTGTATCTAGACACCCACAAATAGACCCCATCTGTGTGTTCCAACTATGTTCTACATGTGGATAATTGTCTCGGAAAATATGTGTTGACATAATTACTGTATACATCGGTATGCATATATATATATATATAATATATAAATAATATAAATATATATATATATATATACATACATACCTACATCTTCCATGTGGTACTTTTTCCGCCGTTGCTCCAAAAGGCATAATTTTTGGTCGTTCTTGTAAGGACAAGTCTTTTTTGCAAAAAAAAAACATTCTAAAAAATGTCTCTCCATGTGGTCGGGTAATGTCGCTGTTTGGTCGGGTAATGTCGCCGTTAGGTCGGGCAATGTTGCCGTTGCAAAATCAGATATTTGGAAAGTTCTGGAAAATCTCGAAAAACGCCGTTCCGCAAAAAAAAGGTCGTTCTTTCGGAAAACCTATTTTTCGAGCAAAAGGCATAAATTTAGCACCATTTTGAAGATGCAGGTATATATGTGAATTCGTACAGTAATATTTTGTCATGTGCCTTGACCCTGAAAGCACCCACACATATGCCTTCAAAAATCTTCAAAGTACATATGTCTTCAAACCGCAACAAACCCTTTCTGAATTGGTAAGCAAGGGGGGCTTTTTGGATGCGAATTTCCAGGGCAAAAAAAACGCTGTTTTCGTCCACAGTACATTCGACAAAGAGCAACATATTTTCAAAACAGGTGATATAAATAACACTCACACAAATAAATAAATATGCATGTATGATCATGTATGTGGATATTTATATATATATATATACTGTATATACACATCCATGTGCATAAACATAAGCATGTGCATATGTTAGTCTACCGACCTACCTATCTATCTATCTATCTGTCTGTCTGTCTGTCTGTCTGTCCATCCATCGATCCATCTTTCCATCCAACCATATGCATCATCTGCACATCGATCCAAATAGAAATCCGGTAAAATTATCCCCATTTAAGCAAGTGGGGCCTGAACCCAAAACGTGCTATTCAATGTGGTAACTTTGAAACAACACAGGAGTTCAGTGATCTGGGGTTGTATTGATTTTGCCCACGTTTATCCTCCTGTCATGGCTTTCCTGAAGAAAAGTCACTGACTTGTCCAAGCACCTCATTTTCCCACAATACAATGGCGGGGTCTGTTGCATAACCGCCCCTCTTTGTAGCAGCGATCTTCATAAGTGGTTGATTGCCGGCCCTTGCTTCTGTATCAAAATTCTGGTCCCTAGTTTTCCCACCAAAGATAGCTGATGGGTTGTGTAGGTTCATCCCAAAATGATCCAATATGTAGTGACTCATTCCCAAGTGATGCTGAATTGGAACATGTTGCAACCACCAAAAAGAATCCAAAAGGGCTCAGCTAAGGCGAAAGTATGTCCACTCAGCAGCCAAGAGGCTACCTTGGGCGAGACATTCGGTGAAACACAAAAGAGCCTTGCACAGCGGCTGGTCTGCTGCTTGCACAGCATTTAAATGTGAGGGCGGAACCCACTTCCTAGCCGCCAGATTCCAGCGCCCCGTGGGCAATTAAGCAACACTCTCACCTTCTGATCTTTCTTGGCTGCTACAGGCCAAGCAAAAGCAAAGCATAGTTGGCATAGTTGAGCCAAGGATATTCAAACCATTAACACCGTTCCCAGTGGAGTCTAGAAGGTGACATGCATTTGGAAGGTGCAGCGGTGGCTACTGAAGCTTTTGCTGAACGGCTGCGAGTATCCAAATGTTTCCTGCCGCTGGGTGGTTGCAAGAACCACTTCAACATCTGTCCGACCACCTGCGAAGAGAAAAAGGTCGATAGTTTCACCTATCTAACTCAAGTGATCCACGAAAGACCTCAATTAATTCATATATATATATATTGTTTTTTTTCCAGTATCCTTTGGGGTGTGCGGATCATTCGGTCCGTTGAGGTTTCCCCAGCTCATGACCGACATTTGCATCTAAGCACCTTGACTTGAGGGGTGGATCGTCTAACATAGCTATATGAACACCTACAAAAATCACAATGTTTTGTAGGTAAATCATCTACAAAAGGCCGATTTATTTTGTAGCTAAATCATCTACAAAGGGCCGATTTATTTATCATATTTATCTGATTCTGATCATTGAATTACTCAAAGCCCCAAGGCCGTTGATTAGATCCACATGTGAGCCATGAAAAATACCCCGATCATCCCCGATCCTAGTCCACTTATTGGTTATTGGATATCCTATTGTTTGTCAGGCCAATCACCCTTTACTTTATAACCAATTGTCGATGGAATTGTTAATGGCTCGTCTCGCCATCACTAGCCACCTGAATCAGGGTTGCTCCCAACACCAAATACAAGGGGAAAAAATTGGCAATACACAGGTAACATTACCATTTGTTGTCACACCCCATTGTGGCTATCATTGGCCTATTATCAGTTGGAGCAACTCTGTGAATTGGCCCTACTCGTCATCGGCTGTCATGTGAGACGTGGGCGAGTTGGCTTCGCTGCACTCACTTCCTAGTTGCGGATGTGTTCGACGTTGGCGGTCAATCTTAGACACCCTTTGAAGAACATAACTTTAAGCATGGTTTGTATATCATAGTATATTCATATACATCTATATTTGCATCTCTCTCTATACGTATATACACATATACAAATCAAATTGTAATTCCATAATAATATTATCTAAATAATTATATAATTATACATACAATTATATAATTATATGTATATATATATATTAATGTTATGTGCGGTTATGTATATAATTAAATAACAATTAACTATAATTATACATATTATATATAATATATTCTCATCCAGTCTGTCAGTTTTAGCCAGGAAAAAAAAAGAGGCGGATGATCTACTCAACAAAGGTCGGTCTTTCCAGCACTTGCAACCCAAACTTCCCTTTGCTCGGATTGTTCCAAGTCGGCAGGCTCATGTATTCAGATTATTGGTTGTGCAAAAGCAGAAGCTCCAATAATTGCACATACATTTGCTGCTGAGGACTCTGGGAAAAACATCCAAGTGAACATATATAAATAGAATTGTTATTATAACCGTATGACCATAGTTACATACTGTAATTGGGTTGTTTGCCAAAATCAACTTGGATGATTTTGAAAAGGGGTCCATTACGTGGTCTCCAAATGCTGGGACAATCTCATCACCCGACTTTCAAAAAAATGAACGAACAGCATCAAACCGTTGTACCGAAAACGCACCGAAAGAAATCAACACAACATATCTTCCGGTGATCAATGATTTTCGATGATTTTGCCATGAAAACCTCCATTGAGTTTCCCATTTGTTTTTCAGGCCCAAGTCAGAACCGCAGCTTGTCACGCCTTCACGTGCCTTGGGGGTTGCCGGCACCTGTTCGATGAAGTCGTTGAGCCATTGGTCCGTGGCCGGCATCTCCTGAGATCACCCCATGGCAGTGACCTCTCAGACTGTATCTGTTTATAATTCTATACATAAGGTGGTTAAAACAATAATAAACTACCCATTTGGGAATGATTTATACTATACGACCTATTTATCGTCATTTGGGGGATGGTTCATTATTGTTTTACTGTTTTACCGCTTTATCTAGTGTTACTAGTGACTAGTGTTTTTTGTTGGAGGGGACATGCCATGAAAGTTTGGAATTCAGAATTCTGCTCTGAGCCAACTGTACCTGGTTGGTGGTTTCAATCCCTCTGAAAAATATTAGTCAGTTGGGATGATTATCTCATATATAATGGAAAATAAAAAATGTTCCAAACCACCAACCAGGTACAGTTATGTAGAGTTGACAGGTAGCACTTCAGGATTCCTGGTGTGTCTTGAGACGGGACCCTTGGAAGCTGATTCTAGCGGAGCCCCAAGGGCTCCTAGGGACTTGTCTCCTAACTGGGCTCCCCCAGCCGACTGCTTCGGAACCAGGCAATTTTTGGCGAGGAACCGCACATAGGAACCATGACAGAAACTTCATGATTCTTTTTGATGATGGACGGCGTAAAACAAAACCGCGAGGTAACTGAGGTAACCAAAATAATGTGGCTGATAAACATGCAGAGCTGTTCTTACGGTTCCACCCCTTTTCTCACGGTTCCACCCCCTTATTTCTCATGGTTTCACCTCATTTCGGTGGGTTTCCCAACGGTTCCGCATCATGACTTTTCGTGTAAAGGTTCATCTCAAAGCATTCAGGACATGTATTATCAAGCACTGACAGGTATATCCAAATTTGTCTGAACCCGTGTGCCTGGTTTCGAGTTCCAAAGTCTGGTTACCTGTGAGGCTGGTAACTAGCCCAAACGGGTAAGTGGATGCGTTGGGTGCTGTTAAAATTGTGCCCGTTGATTTTGACCCTACTGTTAGCCTGCACACCTTTGCAACCCAGCTGTAGATGTCTACTGATTCTACTGGCGGGCCTGGAATTGCAAAACATATGGGATTTCCGCCACCAAATAGTGAGGTCTTTACAATTTACATTTATCTTCAAATGCGTTCACTGGATTTCATGTAATGTTTGAACTTTTGACTTCAGCTATATTTATTATATTTGAAGCTTCCCTATAAAAAAGTGAGCCCCCTTCTGGACGCTAGACCCATGGTAGACCCATGGTAGACCCAAGTCTCCAGCGAGTCTGCGGTCTTCCAAACCACTTCAGCGGCATCTAAGGAGTTGCGCTCGCACATGAATTTACCTCGGCGGAGCTGCAGCATCTTCGTCATCTTCCCATGGGATCAGCTTCGACCTATCACTTAAGCTATCAAGTACTTAGTCGGGTATAGTTTCGTTAAATGTTTTGGTGTAACAGGTTGCAACATCCTAAAACTTGCAATATGAAAAATTAATATGTTAATATGTTGCTTGTTTGGATCCTCATTTATCAGGAGTGCGTCCAAACACCCCAAGTACTGGAGGGAGAACATGGAAAACACATGATCAGCTGCTGATCCAAGCAGCGTATGCCTTCGCATGCTGGCCATGGCAAAGCTGCTAAAGGACACCTGCGTGGATCCCCTTTGGCGTGAGCCACCAAGACCTACAGTGCGATGTGCCAGGGCAAGTCATACCCAAGAACATCCAAGAAGGATGATAACCAGTGAAACATCCAAAAATCACCAAACAACATCTGATGCTTAGAGAATACCCAAACAACAACTGCAAAATCTCACAGTTCTTTTTCCGGAACGGAGAAAACCATGTAATTTTTGGGGTCGGCCCCCAGGTGGCCACGGATGCCACGAGGATTTTTGCAGGCAAATGGTCATGTGGAAACCTGAAGGAAACTGCCAACAACATCAAAGGATACAAGAAAGAAACCTAACATCAATATCATGGGATATCATGGGTGGTTTTCACCCCCTAGAAAGCTGTGGAACATATTTAAGCTTCGACTATAAACTCAGTCCAGATAAGTTTTGAAGTTTAACATGCATAGATCCACTGGCCAAAGCATTGCGATATTTGGCTGTAGAGCCTTGCCACCAGCATGGTCTTCGACAATAAACGGGCCGCACTGTTAACCCATAACTCCAATGACTCCCAAACAACTGAGATGTTGAATGCACAGGTGAATTCATCTGCCCAAACCCAGTATTAAAAAAAAACAAGAGTCAGCTCAAAACCACAATGGGAGCTTTGGCAATCGCCAGGTTCCACACGCCCCAATTCTCCCAGTTGCCGGTTGCTGTTGGCAACCAAAGAAGCACTTCAACATACTACAACCATCAACCATTTAGCAAAAATCCTCCTGAATCAGGTGGTTATGGTCACCTTGCCTCCTGCTACAAGGGTTGGTCAACTTAGGACATCCTAAAATAGTCTAAAATAATCTAAAATCTGATATGAACTTCATTTCCCTCATTTCAAAGGCATTCGCCCGGCAACTCCATTTAGGGACAAACTTACCATCGAAGATCTTGTCCAAGTCGCCAAGCGAGAGCGTGCCCACTCTTGCCAGTAACTGGCGCTCACTGACAAGTATAAGGCGCCTCGCCACAAGCGCTGCCGACGTTCCAGCAGAACCCACACAAAAAACTTTGTTCGTCTAGGTAGTTCTCGGGCCAGGCATGCCACACCTCAAAAGGGCAGCCGTTCGGCAATGGCTGGGTTCATTCCGACGTTTGGATGGCCCGCTGTTGGTGAGTCCTTCAGACATCTTGAACGCACTTCGGCGATTGTCTACGAGGGAACTGCAATGTGGACCATGTAGAACTAAAATGAAGTAACATGAAACAACTATACTACGATATCTATATATAATCAATACAGTTCAATTCGGACCAGCCAATTAGCAAAAACAAGGGAAGAACAAGGAGAAAATTACATCAAACCTGATAATTGGGCACAAACCAACTAACCCCTGGAAGCACACACACCCTTAATCTCGTATCTTGAAACCATCGTTGACTTAAATAGTTGAGTCATTGCGTTGCGAATTTGTTGGTTTTGGATCCATCATGATCATGAGGATTGCACATCGAAGGATAGCTATCCAGCTATCCGAACATGCAGTCATTCAACATGTCCAAAAACACAGCAATTTCCACAACATTCCTTCGCAAAAAGGCTGGCTGAAATATTTGAAACGGCATAGTTTGAACATGCAAGGAAAACAATGCATGAGCCCTCCCTGCTACCACACGCCGTGTCCCGCATTCCCTACTCTAGTCAGGACGACTTGGTCATTTCATCGAGCGTCTGGTCTGATGTACTCTTTTGAAGTTATCATTATGATTCCAAACAAAAAACTAATTCAAATTAGATGGGTCCAAATATATCCAAATGATCCAAATGGCATTCCAAACAATTCTACAAGAACAACACCCCGCTTTGAAAAGTGTTTGAACGGTTAGCCAAACAGTTTTTCTGTCTGAACGGGCTCTTGGCACTTTTTGTTAGTTCGCCAAGCTGCGGGCTGACAAGGGATCAAGGACATTGAAGACCTCCAGTGGATTGAGCATCATGATCTCCCCCACCTTGGATAGGAAGTAGGCGCAGCCCTCCACATACCTCGGCAGTGAAACATGTTGGGATCTCGAACGCGTCTCTAGTAGGACTTGGGCCGACTTGTCGAGATTGATTTCATAAACGTGTCTTTAAACTAGTTTAAACTACTTCCAACAGTGAAAACCCTTTTCTCAAGAGAGGTCTTGATGATTCTTGATACTAGTCGCGTCAAGCAACGGTGCCTGCTTCGACAACGACAACAGTGCACCAGCCCAAGAGGAACTGAAGTTTCTGAAAAGAGCGAATTTCTCCGGAATTGTGTGGCTGTCTGCATTTATAGATGATTTCAACCGGTTTCTAGGCCATGTCGCAGCCATCCATGTTTGAGGTCGGGCCCTGCCAAGACACCATGTGGCTGGTTCAGTGATCCCAGCAAAGCAACAGGCTTTCGCTGTGTCCAGGAGATGGAGGATGGCTTGGTGAATCGCATGCTCCTCGCGCTATGGATCTGCCAGAATTGGGTGCTCAAATCGCACCTTCCAAGAACAGCCGCTTGGGTGATATCTATCCGGGACATGAGCCATACATTTGGCTGAGTTATCACACCCGGCACCCTATGGATCCAAACACTTCTTGAGAAAATACTTAACCTCCCAAATCGTACCCCAAGCACTTCCTAAGAAGGTACTTGGATCCATAGCGATACATAATAATTATGATGATAAGGATGGCAAATGTGTCAACCCACCTGAAGGTTTGGCGAGGTTATTGTGCTTCACACACACACACATGGATATGTCTTCAATCTTTCAAATATGCTGACATCTCAACATTCATGCACAGCAGTTTGATGGAATTTGCAAACTGGATAAACTGGGGTGCTTCAGCAGCAACCCCTCACTGATATTCCAACAACCTCTACCATCATGCTGAATCCAACGCCAATCAATGGGTTACGTGAAAATCTACAGGAAACCATGTTTTTTTACTAGTGAACATAGGTGGTGTCATTTATATGTTTTTTTTGTTTTTTTTTAACGAGTAATTTCATGTATTTTCTGGGGGAGTTCCACATGGTTTCCGTTTTTTGTAAAGCGCTCCGAGGTGGAAATATAGTTGGCCCAGCAAAGCTCCGCCATGAAGTTGAACAAAGCCTCGACTGACACGTTTCAAACATGTCCATCTGCAGCAACTAAGGCATGAACAAAAGGTAAGGGACTTGACTTTAATTACTAAGTTACTATTAGTTGCTATATACTCAATGTATATAGTCACTAGTCTTGTTATATATCGTGTATCTGGAAAGGTCTTGTGAACATGAAATAAATGCCAGCGTACACATGCGTACACTTCTGCACATGCTGGTGCCGATCAAAGAGTTGGCATCAAACTTCGGCAATGCAAGAATCAAAACAACTTGGACACCGTCAATCTTCCCGGATTGGTTTATGGTGAAGATTTGTAGCTTCAAGCGAAAACGGTGATTTCCCAGCTAGCCACGCTTGATTACCTTCCCCATTCACACTGCGGCATGCTGAATGTAAATCCTGGAGAAACATAAGATCACATTCTATCTCACATCCAAGATAGAACCTCCAGTCTGCTTGCTTTCATATATTTCATCACCATGACCATTATCCTCATTGACCCTCATATTCCATTTTATCCCGTGGTGTCGCTAGTCCTGGACAAACAAACGTAAATGTGTCCTTCATCTTTACTTCATCACCATCTTGCTGGTTGAACATCCCACTAAATGGAGAAACCCAGAAAAATCATCATCCATCCTGCACCAGGAGATGCCAAAAGGCAAGCAGTATATTCAGCAGACCTTCCCTATGTTGTTGCTTGTACCCCAAGTTTTGCTGATGAATCTACCACCCTTCCAGTTGGAATGTAAATATTATCCCAATACAATATATATATATATGTATCGTTCTCCTCAGAATATATCCCATTATATCCCGCATGATATGCATATAACATTAGAATACATATATTTATATACATATATATATATAAATAATAATAATAATATCTAATATCTAGTGCTTTTTCCACATCTATAAACAGATGTTATAATTAACCACATGATGCCCTTCCCGCCGCGAGGCCAGCACCGAACTCCTCGCCACTCGCAGCGTGACCATCTCGGTGAGGCGCGCCGCCAGCGCCGCCTTCAGCGCCGAGGTCAGCGTCAGGATCTCGCTGCCCGACCTCAGAACGATAAAAAACGACGACGCTGCGGGGCTTATGAATGGATATAAATATAAATATATACACATAAATCTATATTTAAACATATATATATATGGTCATATATACATATGTATATAATGGGTATATATAGAATGTTATACAACAACACATGTTCAGCGGGATCTCTTCGAATCGCACAGATCATCTTCGCCTCTGTGGTACCATGACGGACCGAAAGTCATCGAGGATGGGGGGAAATTGTGGCCATACAAACCTATAATTTCAGCTTCAGATTGGGGTAATCTGCCAAAAATCATGCATTAATAATTGATCTAGTGGATTTCTTGCAGGAACCACCTCTTCTTGTCTTCCCAAATCAAATGCCCCCAAAACGAACCCGGGATTCCAGTCATCCCTTCATGAATGGATAAATTGGATACCCTCTGGTAATTTAACATAGCTATTGAAAATCAACATTTTTTAATGGGTAAATCAACCATAAATGGGCCATGTTCAATATGTTAGTTTAGCAAAGGGTAGTTCTCCAAAACACCTGCGGCACGGCTTCAGGGATAGTTACCCCCAATTCGCATCTTTCCAGTGACGTCTCAACGGATGGGGATGTGAAGCTTACGGCATACCTATGCCGTATAGCCGTTAGCTGTTAGTAAATCAATGTCATAAACCACCCCAATATGGATCGAAGATCTTTGAATCCCAGCCATCTAAATGAAAAAAAACATGGGGATGGTGGATGGTGGATGCATTCCTAAGCTCTACCAACCAGCTATATACGCCATGAGTTATACCATAGCTATACCCAGGCAGCCCGATTCTCCGCGCCAGGCCGCTCGGATCTCACAGCCTTCATACTGGGCCACACGCCGTCCAAGTCGCGGATGAAGTGCCGATGGTCCTGGAGAATTTCCCTCCGGTCATCCCCCAAGTGGATCCGGGATACTGTGGATGGGCCAGCGAAATGCTTGATAGGTGGTAAACATCCCATTATTTATAGGGTTTCAACATGTTTCAACATGTTTCAACGGTTTCAACCATCCAGTTGGTGATGCAGGATTTCGCAACCATCCACAGTACTATTGGCTTTACCCAAAAAAAAACATAAAGGAAGATTTGGGAGGTGAAAAAAGGAGGAGTACATTTCATAAAGCTTGACAACTCCAAAATGGAAGACTTCAATAGGCAGCCCGATGTCTAAGTCAGATGTGGATTTGGCCAAACGGTACACGGAATGCCCCCGCTTGATTAGGAGTCCCCCTCCGGAATAGCACTCCAAAAATTGCCATTCAGATAGGATAAATGATGGTAAACTATGGAAATCTGATATAATTAATATTGTGGGATTTGGCTAGAACCCAAAGGCCAAGGTGACCCTGCACCCCACAGGCGCCCCCTCTCCAGAACTACCAGGGCCGCAGCCACGACATCTGCCGCTGCAGTGCGCAGTTCTGACTCGCAGGAGCACAGCGGCAAACGCCTCACTGAGAGTTCTCGGGTTTCATTGGGTGGAAACGGAGGTAGATTCTTAACATTTCGTACCGACATTCGTCGTTTCTTAACCATTAAGATCATTAAGCCATGGTTACCTTGGTGATTTCAAAGTGATTCAAAACGATGGGTTGTTGATTGTTAATAAATATCGTTACTATATATTCAGATTTATTATATGTATATTATATGATATATGTATCAAATAAATCCTCACCAATATACTACACCATCATTAATCACCATTAATCCCCAAAAATAATCCCATTAATCACCATTAATGGGGTTAATCATCATGAAACCACTATTAACATCTATGAAAACCACTATTCGTATCTATGAAAACCACTATGAACGTCTATTCTCAACCACTATGCTTCACCACTGTATTATCACCATTGTGATGAATCATCATTAATCATCATTGATCACCATTAATCACCATTAATCATTAATCATTATTAATCCCCATAAATTGACCACCATTACTCACCATTAATATCCATTAATCATTATTAACTGGATGGTGAGTAGAACCATTATTAAACATTAATCATTGTAATAATCCATTAATATCCATTAATATCCATTAATCACCATTAATCATTACTACTAACATTAATAGATAATCACAATGATTAATGATGGGATATACATTAATCATCCATTATTCTGGGTAAATTATAATAATTCACGAACCTGAATGGTTCGGCCATTTGGGGATGAATTCCTTATAAAAAACATGATTCCAGTGAGGGAGAACAGTGAGGTCGTTATAATTTACCCAGATTAATGTCCATTTCACTATTAATCATTACTACTAACATTAATAGATAATCATGATGATTAATGATGGGATATACATTAATCATCCATTATTCTGGGTAAAGTATAATAATTCACGAACCTGAATGGTTCGGCCATTTGGGGATGATTTTCCTTATAAAAACCATGATTCCAGTGAGGGAGAACAGTGAGGTCGTTGTAATTTACCCAGATTAATATCCATTTCACCATTAATCATTACTACTAACATTAATAGATAATCATGATGATTAATGATGGGATATACATTAATCATCCATTTTTCTGGGTAAATTATAATAATTCACGAACCTGAATGGTTCGGCCATTTGGGGATGATTTTCCTTATAAAAACAATGATTCCAGGGAGGGAGAACAGTGAGGTCGTTATAATTTACCCAGATTAATATCAATTTCACCATTAATCATTACTACTAACATTAATAGATAATCATGATGATTAATGATGGGATATACATTAATCATCCATTATTCTGGGTAAATTATAATAATTCACGAACCTGAATGGTTCGGCCATTTGGGGATGATTTTCCTTATAAAAACAATGATTCCAGTGAGGGAGAACAGTGAGGTCGTTATAATTTACCCAGATTAATATCAATTTCACCATTAATCATTACTACTAACATTAATAGATAATCATGATGATTAATGATGGGATATACATTATAATCATTCATTATTAATTAAACATTAACCATTATAATGACCATGGTGTTTGTCATCATGGATGGTCTGCTCCACGCCTGAGCAGCTCCTCCGGCAGCCCGGAAAGACTCCGCGGCGTAAACGGCGCCTCCTCGGGCGCCGAGATCACCAGCGAGTGACGGGGGCCTCGGCACACGCGGCGCACGCGGCACACGCGTAACGGATGGAGAAGATCTATGAGACATCTGAATCTTTACATGAAAATCCAACATGTTAAACTAAATAAACCAAACTAGCTATATTGTAAATATATATATACAATTGTTATCATTTATATTTGTTTATTACATACATACATAATTATGTGAATTATGTGGATTTCAGCGGAAAAATGATGGGCTGGGGACCATGGACATGTGGAAAACACATGTGAAGAATCTAATTGTTTTTTAAAAAACCTTGGATTGTGATTTGATGGCTAAGTCACTTTAAGTGGCATCTAAGCCCTCCACTCAACCCATAACAACAGATAGATTGCCAGAAAAATGTCGCTGCTGTTGCCCATTGTGGCACTAAGAGGGTCAAGGTACGTGTGCAAACACATGCCAAACTAGTACTGTAACCTTTAGCGGTTGGCTGCCTCTTACAACAACATGGCATATACATATATATATAATCATAAATGAATTTTGCACACAACAAAGGTACGAGTCAAAAAAGGGTCACCACGTTGTTGCACAACAATTGTACCCTAGGGTAAATTAACATGCATGAAACTCATTGAGTTTCTCAGCATTTGTAGATCATTTTCCAAAGGGAACCATGGGTTTTCCACATCTGAGTTTACCCGAGTTTACCCTAGGGTTGTCGGTTTCATGTTTTGCTGTTCACCATTTTGACACCGTCTCGGCGATCAGCCGCCATAGCCGCCTAACTTGGCCGAGCTGCCAATGGTTGTCCTTCGACAGCGCAACCTGCTGCGCATCCTGAATCCTGTCAGGCGTGCAGTATCTCAATGCCACATTGCAGGTTTGCCATTGCTTTCTATACCCATTTTAATTCCGAGAACAAAGTAATTACCAACCGTTAGAAAATATACCAAATGATATAACATGATATGAATTATGGTTATGAGACTTGAATGAAAACATATATTATATTTCTAAAATATACACATACAATGTATATATATATACACACACGTACATGAGTCTTTGAGGCAACCAAATATGACTGGTGCTTTAAACATCATTTGCATAATCTTCTAAGCCTGGTAACTTGCAGCCAGTGATCGGACTCGGTCATCAAGAAAAAATGCATACGTGGATGCCAGAAATGTGTTTTGGATGCATCTATCCAAGTCAAAATGAATATAACATGATGTAAATGATGTAACATTCTATACTGGGGGTTTCTCAGGGTTCTCAATGAGCTTACCTCCATTTACCTCCTGCATTTGTTTGCTTCAAAACGGGCGGGCTGCGGCTATGCATCAGCACTAAAGAAAAAACGCCAAACCATGCTTTCCGTCGCCATTGGACAAACCCTGCCTTAAACGATCTTAAGTCGGCAAAGTCTCATCTTTGTTTCTGTCGTGTTCACATGTTTGATGAGTTCACCCTGCCTCGTTGTGTGACGCTCATTTGATGATGGCCTTTTAAACGATGTGTGAATCTCTGGCTGTGATATTTGACCCATGACCAAAATGGTCACAGTGATACCTGCATGATTCCCCGTGACTTGTTTTTGTTTTCCTCCTTTTGGTGCTATATCCCTGAATATGAACATTTATCATAATGATGGCTGACTCATCCACCACAGCGGTGCCAGTACTAGCTCACAGTTGGTCTGAACATGAGAGATATCAAAGAAATGGCAGTATGCAAAAAATGATGGTTATATAAGTGCTACATATAACTTACAACTATTGGACTTTATGGGATTTTTTGGGCAAACCCATATCCTCCAATTGATGATGCCTAACCATACCGACCATACCTAACCAACAAATGTTGACACCCGCATTGGTTAATTATTGGCTAACCATGTTTAGCTGTTTAACCCTCCAAAAGGGAACAAAACAGGTAACACTCTACGTACCAAGCTCGCTTAATTGTGGGTTAAATCCCCCGTGCGATGCCCAAACAGGCCGCATCTTCACCATGCCCTGCAGGGCGCCCCTGAAAACCCACAGGACCTGCTTCAGCACACTCGTCTCAGGATGACGACTTCACATGTAGCGACGAAGCTGCGGCCACACTGAAGGTTGTAACCAACCAAATGGAATACATTGGAAAATCTATGACTTGTCAATCACTGGGATGTAAACAGCATGAAGACCTTGAATTCTACCAGCCATTATGAGTTGATCATGTTGATCCGATATTTTTTTCTGCAGCCCAAATCGATCGTATTTTCATATGAGGGCCACCCTTTCCTGTGCATACAGTGAGCCCAAGACGGCAAGGAGACGGACCAAAATGAGGGCCCAACGGACCTACGAAGGTTCCTTATTCGCAGTGTGGTCAACCAAACAATAAACGACCGAAATCAGGGATAGTTTTGTCATTTAGGCTCATCAAAAGGATCCTGGTTGGTGGTTGGGCCACCCATCCAACTACGCTTGTCGTACCCATCATTCTTACAAAAGAAATACAAAAGAATACAAAAGAAACCATGATGATTGCAACCACCAATCATCCAATGTGCAAACGTCCGCAAATCACCAAGTCGTTTTTGCAGGTACGCACTAGCAGTACCTTGGAAATCTTTGGATTTAAGGTATTTTAAGATTTTTAAGGTTACAATCTTGCCAGAACCACAATCATGAGAACCATCGTCACACTTGGATGCCAGCTACCAGGTCTTTCTTCAAAAGTACACGTGTCCCCTGGCCCTTCCCGGCGCGCCATCCGCGCGGTACCGGTAATTGTCACTGCCATTGCAGCGACGAAAAACAAAAAGAGCCGGCACGGTCGCCAAGTCCACCGCCGATTTGTCTATTTCAAATCCCATTAAACTTCGTTTTAAAAGCTAACTAAAATATGGCCAACAATTGGATTTCGAAGCTGCCCACTGTCCACTAATATTAAATTAAAAGCCTTAGTTATAAAGATCGACTCTGAAGGATGGACCCTAATACAAAACGCCCCGGTGTTGACGATAGTTGTTATATATATATAATTATATATTATAGGGGGTGAAACCCTCAAATGGGACCTTCATTTTTAAATTGTTTTTTTTGAGGGGATCAATTCAACATCAAATTGGCCAAATTCAAAATTCCTAAGAAAAAATCAGAATGGAGTACGTTTAGTAGTAGAAGGGGGCTATTACACAATATATATATATAATTATATATATATTGATACTATGTCTTATGCAGTTATGCAATTTATATCATGTGTTGCCTTTCTTCAATCTGTTGTGACCATCCTTTTATAGCAAGACAACCGATTTTCAACACTGGGACTTGACCGCTGCACCAATCTTTGTGGGATGCCGGGCACCTGTGCATATTGCAACGCCACACCACATTGAATTAATTTCAAATTAGGCCTGCACGCAAAACGGATGGCGCAGCAGAATCGAGGTGAAACCTGTTGAAACCTGTTTGACTTCACTTCATTCTTCGAATGACTCATGGGTAATCAATAGGTTTGGAAACAATTTCACATCATTTCCAAACTGTTTCATGTCACTTCATTTATCCAATAGTTCCAGCTGCGCACCTTCCATTGTCAAACCGAAAACAATTCGAGGCCACAGGCCAAGGGCTGGAACGTGTCCAGCACAAAAATCGACAATGAGCAGCTCCGTGCAGGTATGACGCACGCCCACATCAATACAACTCAATACATCATTGCACACACACATATATATATATAGACATTTATTTACATATATGTGCTATCTATCTATATAATACATATATATATATGCAAATGTTTATTTTATATACTGTATATGCATCTATCATTATACCTATAGATGACCATTCTTGGAATCAGTTCAACATGTCGTGCCTGCTAATTTCAGCAGCTGTTCAATTCTTGGGAAAATGATGGCAAGGTTCGTTATATAAGTTATAACACATTTTAACTAGGCCTAACACATCCCAACACATATCTGGTTGGTGATTTCAACCCCTCTGAAAAAATATTAGTCAGTTGGGATGATTATTGCCAATATATGGAAAAATAAAAAATGTTCCAAACCACGAACCAGAACGGAATTTTGGGGAATGAACAATTTTGGGCATTGATCACCTCAACCATCCTCAACCAATCATCATGAGGAGCTCTTCATGTCGTCATACCCGTGATCAAATAGAAACGGCTTGACTCAACGTCGTTGGCGGTGAACAATCAGGCAAGGGCGAATGCTTGGTATCAGTTTGTGGGAAACAACTTGCCTTCCAGGTAAGCAAGCATGGAATGGAAGGCAGAAAAAAAAACTTATTGAATGTTAAATCTGCTTAGGATGTATCAAACTGTTGAAACTGCATATGTTCCATTGCCAGAGCTTTTAAGCTATTGAGATTACCCTTTATGGCATCTTTGAGGACATAATACAAAATGAAACTGATGGGAACACATATGACGGACTATAGTGGACTGGGATAGTACCTGACAATAATGGATCACGCTAGGTAGAACTTTTTGGAAAACTCTTCAAAAAAATAAAACGCAGCAGCACAAGCTAACAGCATGATGCATGCTCATTGCCAAAAACTCAAGTGGTTCCCCGGCTTACCCCGCAAAGAACTCTTTTACTAAGCCCTATCCAATCTATTGATTTTCATCTAGCCAAAAACATCACCCAAGACCCTTCTCAACAAGGCGGCTCACCCGTGGCCCCGTGCCTCAGACTCCTCAGAGGGCTTCGCTGCCAGCGGTGCCATCGGGGGCTCGGGCTCGCTGACGCCGGCGCTGGAACAGCAAACCCAGGCGTTCGAGGTAAGCTTCCGCTCCTGGCATCCCATGGTATGCCATGGTATCCCAGTAACGCCAGTATGTGAAACAGTTGGGAAAATCGAAAAGTTGCAGCAAGTCCCAGAAAAACGCAGAATTTGAGGTAAATCCTCATAAACTGGCGGTAACATTTATCATTTATCGTATATCATGCAATATGATGAACTTATTCGCATCTTTAGGTGTGTTTTCTATCTTCTTGGGGGTTACCATAATGATGCCAGTCTTATAAATCTGCTTGTTAATGAGACATACCCGGTATATGCATGGGTTGCATCATGTTGGGTTTGCTGCGCAGGTTTGCCCACAGTTCGCAATCGTTTGTCAGAGATCCATGAGAATGGAAGTATGTGCCTTTGTATCTGCAGCCGTTCGTAGGACTTCAGAGTCTTCATTTCTTCAAGCATATTATATTATGATTTAATTAGTTTCAATTTGGATTTCCATAGTTCAACAAAATGCTTCGTGAAAATACTTTTTTTTCCGCCAGATTTGGCGGAAACAAATGTTGTTGCATTTAAATGAGAACAAAGTGCACGTCGCACTGAAAAGCAGAACAACATTAAATCATGAAACATGCAAGTTGTGAAAATTATCGGGCTACTAACTGGATGCAATTTCAAGTCTTTTCATGGGAAAGCACTATCAGTTTCAAGGTTATAAAAGACCGGCCTCCACTTGCCTGCCACACATGTAACCGATGTAACCGATGTAACCGACCTCAAATTCCATCAAGTCACACTGGCTACTTGTCTTACAGGCAACTGATCAACTGGAAGAATTCTTTTTCACCCCATGTCAATCCTTACAGCTAATGTAGAGACCAAACACCGTGGGTTTTTCATATCACCCATGTGGGCGTCATAGCCAGCACCTTGAGCAACCCGGGTTAAAAATCAAAACAGTGAAACATCCTATATTGAAATAATGGGTATGATACATTTATATATACATACGCATATACATAAACATATATATACATAAACATATACATATATATATATATATACAATATACATCTACGGGCCCTCTAGTAATCGAACGTGGCTAGCCGGACACCCAGAACTACATGGAGCTTTGTAAATGGGAACACCGAAGTAAAATCAAGGGATTTTCCAGCAAGCCAAATTTGATGACACCAGAGGCTATATCTCCATATTTCTACTATTAGTGCATTTACTATCTTTATATCCCATGAATATCCCTAGTAATCATGCTTGCTTAAAGCCCATGAAAAACAACCGGAAAACCGTCATGGGATGCCATAAATCTCACTTCCAGCGGGTCCGGGTCCTCGGATCGCGAGGTCACCAATGGCGTCAAGGAGGGCCACAGCTCCTTGATGCAGTGGACGTTGGCGAGAATGCCATCGTCCTCGACCTTCCTTAGAGGTGACACGTGGTGAGAAGCACCCAGAAGTAAAGGACTTGATGGGAATTACTGGAAAATACGGGATAAAAAAATGTGGTTTGATGGGATTTAATTGTAATCTTCAATAGTGATTTAATGGATTTTAATAGAATTTACTGGACGTTAGTTTGATTTGAAGTTGATTTAATATGATCTACTGGGATTTGACAGTGGCTCAATGGGACTCAATAGAGATTCAGTAGCGATCTATAAAATTGGATTTAAATGTAATTACTGGGATTTACTGGGGGTTATGTTTGTTTTTTTATATAATGGTGATTTAATGAAATCTAATTGTCATTTAATAATGATTTCATTGGATTTAGTGGATTTCCTGGAATTTTCTGAGAACTAATTGGGTTTGATGGAGGTTTAAGGGTATCTAATTGTGATTGAATGGGATTGAATTGTGGTTTACTGGTTTCATGGGGCCTAGGGGGGATTTAATGGTGATTTAATCGGGATTTAGGGTGGTATATAACCAACCATATTTGAGTTTGTCTGCACATGGGGGATTGGCTCCAAACATTGCAATTTCTTGGCAGGGAAAATTACCTTCACCATCGAGTTTTGAGGGTGTGTTGTTTTCAAACAAAGCCTGCAGCCAACAAGGTCCAAATAATCATTGCTTCCTTACAAGTTCCGGGAACCCCGAAACAGGTGCAAACCATACACCAATTATATCCAAATATTACCTCACGGATTCTCGGGAAAAATAAACTCAGCTACGAGAATCCCGTGGCCGAACCTATCAACCTTTCCTCCCTGACCACTTGGATGAGCATCATACCACAGGACCATCATGATCACCCCATCCTCGAATCAATCATACTCAATCTACATATGGTTCCTATTTTTTTTGCTTGGACGGCCGTTTATGCTCTGAGGCACGGTCCTGTGAGCTTTGAGTCTTACTCGCGGACCAGCGGGGAATCGAACCACCACCGGTATAGTCTGTCAGCGACGTCAAGAACGCCGCGATACCAACTAAGCCACGAGGACGACTACTCAATCTACATATGGTTCCTAAAATATAGGTACCCCCAAATCATTCAATTCATGAATGACCATGACTTAGTGCCTTGAAACCCACAAAACAAGTGACGACGGGATCCCGTCAAGGCCCAGGCTCCCCCAGGAGTTCTTTGTCACGTTGGCTTCGGCCTCCGCACGCCACTTCTCCGGATCGCTGGGATCAAGGGCACCATCCACGAAATCCACGCAGCTCTTCTCGAACTCCGCGATGAACCTCCGGTCACGCGACTCGTCCGACGAGGACTAGTCTGACTGGCGACCGGTCACATCCAGGTTGCAATCTGTGTTTTTTGAAAGTGTTAATCACTAGCAAACGATGGAGGAATTTGAAGTCACAGTGTTTGCGCTTAGAGTATTCTATGAAGTGGCAAAGGAATGACCAGTAATTTCGACATCCTGGAGACCCCCCAGCGGCTTTGTCCTTGGCAAAAAAGGTTCTGAGATGCGCGTCCCTATAACTTGTTATTTCGGATGAACCGTAATTATGACTGATTAGTGACTAACGTGTTAGCCACGTATTCTTTAATAAAAAACTAAACTAAGATTGAATTAATTTGACGTGATAACCGTTAACCACTCACTCTCACTGAGATGCACATTTATCATCATTTATCATCGTTTATCACCCGGGAAAGCGGTTTCGCAGCCGGCCGAGGTCCACACACGGGCTTGGGGCCAATACTCTTCTCATAGCACACGTGACCTGAAGGGATGTCAAGGGATGTCAAGGTATTTTACTGCTGGGTTTCTTCTTCAGCACCTCACCAATGTAGTGACCAATGTATCTTCAGTCTGCGCGGTCCCGCCTGCAAAGAAGAATGCCTACGAAGGAAAACCACATACAGGCAAAACTGTTGAATTACCCTCTGGTAAACTAACATAACTATTGAAAATGACCATTTATCGTTGATTTAACCATTAAAAATGGTGATTTTACAAAGCTATGTAAGTTTACCAAAAAGGGTACTGTATTCCAAACCTTCTTTTGTTGCGTGTATCCCCAACACACACCAGGTGCTTCCATATAATTTCAGGCAAACATGGGCAATTCATCCGAAAACATCACATCATATACCGGAAACAGTATTAAGATGTTAAGAACAATGTAAGGCATTAAATCGCATTAAATCATCATCAATGTTAGTGGTAATCACCATTTTCCCTATTACTTCATGGCGGATACAGGGATTCAAACCTGAGAAAACACCTGGGCAAATCCTGGGCAAAACCACCATCATGGCTGCGATGAAAAAACCATCCCCAAATGGTGGGTTTATTTTTGGGTTAACCACATTACATATGTATATACTATGGATATAAGATATTATATAATTTATATAGTAATATTCGATGTTAGATATTAATAGACGCACTCTCTCTCTCTCTCTCTATATATATATACATACATTTATATATGAATACAGATATAAATATAGATACTAATAAATATATAAATGATATATATATATGTATATTACAGTAACGTATATATATATATAATATGATTCACCCAGATATTCCAGCACAGCTTGTCGCGGCACCAAGTTACCCCAGAAGCGCTGATCCATGAGCAACGGCCCGGTGACGCACGTGGGCTTTCCTGTCGTTGACATAACTTTGATGTGGGAAATTTATGGAACATCTATGAAAATCATGGGGAATCTGGGAATCCAGGGCATCTATGGCGAATCTATGTGGAATTTGTAGAGACCTGTAGAGAATAGAATCTATAGGGTTAATCCACCATTATTCGCAATCTCCAGTAAATCGATGCAAATCCCAAATAAGAGATTGACACACCTCTAGGAGTCATCATCTCAGAATCTCAGAATCCAGGGACAGGATGCGTGAAACACCATGAAACACCAAGGGAGAATCAACCAGCAATACCCTATTCTTGAGATTTCTGACCACTGAACATTGGGGGCCACCCAGGAGATGGCTCGCCTGTGCGCAGGGCTTCCACAGTAGTGCCCAATCCCCCATGGACGATAAAGCAATCCATCAACGGGAAGAGAATGCCAAAATCCACCTTGGAAGCGTGGCCGCTTCCAAAAAGATGGATCAAGTGGAGACCCAAAGCTACTAATGCTAGTAGTTGAAGGTTAGACTTGAGATAGTGGATCTTTGATTATTTTTGGTGATCACATGTGATCACACTTCAAGCAGGTGGTTTCTCAAGATCTATAAAAGCCACATAGAAGCATCAACCCACAGCTGTGTTGCTCAGTTGATCTTGGCGACTCCCAGGATCATTCTCCATTCCACTTCCCAACGTCTCAACATGTCAAGCCAAGCATATCTCAGGGATCCATAGAGGAAGACAATTTGTTCATACATGGCTGGTAGATAATTCAATGGTTTGGTTTAAGGGAAAATTTACAGGTTAGGACAATCTATGGTTTCCTCTAGATTTTCCCTTAAACCAATCCATTGAATATATAATGATTAGACCCTCTGGTAATTTAACATAGCTACCAAAAATGCTCCATTTATAGTGGATTTACCCATTGAAAATGGAGATTTTCCATAGTTATGTTAGTTTATCAGCCGGTAGTTGGTTGTTGATCTTTCTGTTCTGATCAGGGAGATCAAAGGGATCAAAGGGCTGCCGCAAGAGCGCTGCGGCTCTATGTGATTAATTAATTGGGGCAACTAACGGCAACTAACAGTAACTAACTACTGCAACCAAATATCAACCAAAAATCAACCAAAAGTCCCTGGCTGCAACTGCCAATTTCGTTTCAACAACTTAAAACACGATCATGAAAGCTATATATGGATTTGTCCATCCCTGCTATTGCGGTTCATCCCTGGCCTTTAGTGCTGCAAAGAGTCCGCTTTGGCTTCACAGAAGGTCCCCGCATCTTTGCACTTCTGAGCTTCGCCTTCCAAATCAATCGGCCTGGGTACTGCAGCGGCGCAAGATGGTTCGGAATGGTTCATGGGAGTATTCGAAGAGTAACAGCTTCTGAGCTGTTCTCACATCGTCTGAAGGTGGCGGAGTTCCGATTTCACCCGACTTCCAAATGTCTGGGAAAACTTCCAGGTCTTCAGCTGGAAAAGCTCTGAGCCTCTCAGTCGATTTGTGGCCTTATCTTTCAACATCTTTCCACACAAGGCCATGACATCCAAAAACCGTTTTAGACATCCAGCGGGCTACAAGCGGCTCGACACGCAAAGCAGGGGTAGGACAGGTTGGAAGTGGCAGCACCAATCCGCCCATGCAAACACACAACTAAGCTCGACTAAGCTTAGTTGTAATCATGTGGCTGGCAAAGTCTTAAAATTGGCTCATTGACTCCTTGGCCACCCATAGCACTTGATACCGGGTTAGTAAACAAAGCGCCAAGTTGCAAAACCTTACTCCTCACTGCTGCCAAGTCACCCCTGCTCAATCCGCCCAACGTACATGACGCGCACGTGGAACTTGCTTTCCTGGGGGCCAAATGGTGAAGCAGAAATGGGCCATGGCGGCCCCCACACCCGGCCTTGATCAACTTGAGGACAATGCCTGCAGCTTGAACCGCTGGGTATGATTGCTTCGTTGGGAACTGGGTGAGCCATTCTTGAGTGTATTGCATGGGATGGCACCAGCACCGCATTCACCAGCTGCTGTGCTTTGAGACACCAGTTACAGGTACTGTGCTCAAACTCATTCAAACTCCACTGAAGTTGAGATCAAGGGGAGTGCGTCAGCAACATCAACATCCGGAATTAGTACTGCCCCTATAGTCTCTCAAATTTGGCATCATCAATTTAGGCGGACATTGCTTTTTGTATCACCACGATATGATCGCCCACCGCAGCGCTGCGCTGTGGAAACACTGAACAGACTGGGTCCCCCACGAAGCAAAGTTCGTCGCGGCACTGGCATGCTACTGAAGGTAATCAAACACAGTGGAGCATCGTCACGCCTGCAGGGTCAAGGGAGATCCATGGGGGGGCATCTGGTTCTTTTCTCAATCAAATGATGATAAACCATGGGTCTAATTAAGCCGGCTTTCTATTTTCAAACAAACCCGAATGATTGAAATGCATAAAACAGTAACATACAGGCAAGTGGCTAAACATGTCAGCTGGCAGTCATTGTCCCAAAGAAGACCAAAGAACATCAATACGTGAACATCAAAAGCAATATGACATCACCAGCCTGACAATGATTCAATGATAAGTTTTCTTTTCTGGACGCTCTGGGAGCCTTTCGAGTTCAAACCTGAGGAAATCAAAACCCAAAGAAACCGTGATAGCGAAGGTTGTTTTCCTGTTCGCAGGCGCAGGTTCTCTAAACCGAACCGGCTGCTTCAAGATTTGCTGGGTTTCTCTCAGCATAGCCAATCGAGCATAAATAAATATAAATATATATATATTACTTAGCGAAAAAATACATCCCGTTCAAAGACTCATGAACACAACTGTAAACAAAAAATGCTACAAGAAACATCCCAAATCGTAGGTTTCTTGTAGTGGTTCCCACTATATTCATTACCCCACCACTTATAATTTGATTGGTCCCAACATGTTCCAACACCATTTCAGGTCAAGCTCCAAGTTCTAGCTCATATACAATGATCCCCGCAAGGAACAACCTGATGTCAGTAAAGTCAACTGCTATTGGGGATTTTCCACTAACGTCAGCTCTTGTATCCAGTACTGTATCCAGTATGTCATGTCGCATGCCTCAAAAATTCTGCCCACTGTGGCTATCCCAAATTCCCAGCTTCTCGCGCCGCAATTTGGCGGCCTGGCATCGTCAATGAAACATCCGACCGTCTCGCCCAAGTCTTGCCTTGGATATCTTGGATCGCAAGGCACTTGAAAAACGAAGAACTCAGGCAATCTGTAATCTGGATGGTGAGTAAGAGGAAATCCAATTGGAGGCATCTCTATCACTATATATATATATACATATATACAGATTATAAAAAATAATATATATATATATGTACATATACATATATATAATATGTATAATCTATAATATAATATTTAAATATATATATATAAGAATTATTACTTTATATTTATAAGTATATAGCCTATCCAAGGTTGATGTAATGTCTGTGCGGGTCTATGCAAGATCTATGTAAGGGCATCACGTCGATCTGGGTACCTAAATGGGCCATCACTGCCAGAGTTGATTGCCAAAGAGCCGTGAAAGTGGGAAAATTGGGGACATTCCATCGCAAATATATATAACCCAATTGGACCTCTAAGAAATCCTCCATCTATAATTATATTTGATCAATGCAGCTGCACGTTTTGCTGGAAGATCTGCCGAGCATTCAATTGGGGAGTCAAGTGCCTTCTCAGGATAGAAATATATATATATATACATATTTAGAACGTGAACACTCCCTATTTGGCCCGTGCTTGTTGAAGTGTTCAGCCTTTTCAACACTACTTACTGCACACTGCACAAGAAGACCTGCCATCTCCATACATCTATACCTCAGGTTCTTTTTCAGGTTTGTCATTGTTCATTTTCTGTGCATCTTGGTGCCTCTTCGATGCACAAAGATGTATCCCACAAGCTGTTTGCATTTATTTGTCTGTCAATCTGACTGTCGTGCTTGACCATTGAGCCTTGCCTTTCGTGTGGCTAAGGCTCAACTGATTCTGGGTCCTCTGTAGATTTGAAATCAATAACTGCGGGCGGGATGATATGAGGATTCGCCGTAAGAACCAACTATCTAGTGGGGGTGTCTGCAAAACAAATTCCATCCACTGATTAATCATAATTTTCATCTGCTAATTAAACACAACTATGGAACAATGGCCCATTTCTAGATCTTTTACCTGTTAGACAGTGTTGAAGAGTGTTATTGAACATGTGAAAGATTGTTATTTGACATAGTTATGAAGCATGCTAAATTACCAGAGGCTAAGTGGGGGGTGCTAAGATACCTTTTTGGTATGGTCGGTCGCACACTGCGATCAAGAGTCCTTGCTCCTGCGCTGGCTGCACTGGCCTGAAATGCTAAGGCTGGGAACAGCGTGGCACCTGTACTACCATGGAACAATATTGATCTCGACCCATCCACCAAAATGAACTAGAGGAGGAAATATCTTCATCTTCTCAGGGCAAAGGCCCGTTTTCCGAAAGTGAGCAGCTGGGTCTAGGTGATGATATCTGTTGGGTATGCACCAACTTCGTCAAGGAGCCATTCGACACTTTTATCTCTTTGGGAAGGGTGCGAGTGGGACATGTTTGGTGAGATCATCTTAAGAAATGTCAGGCTTCGCACCTTCTTTCGCAAGAAAATAAATTCCGTCTGAACGATGTTCTCTGACCAGTCCTGGCAGCACCAGGCTAGGTCAGAGCAAAAGAACCTTTTTGAAGTCAGAAATGCCATACGTACTTATCTCTCTCTCTCTATATATATATATACGCATATACATATATCATAGATTGTGGATGATGATGGTTAGTGGATGTTAAACAGTTGGGTGTTGGTGGAATCATCACCCACACCTACCTGGATTACCTCCTTAAGAGCTCTTCGGAAGTGGATATGCGGGGTGCTTTTTTTCACAGGTTGATCACCAATCTTAGACCACCCAAAAAAAATGGTCACAGTAGCCCCTTCTAGTCACAAAACACTGTAAATACCAATATGTTTGTTTTTTTTTGTAGTACCCTCTGGTTATTTAACATTTATAGATGGTTTACCTATTAAAAATGGTGATTTTCCATGGCTATGTTAAATAACCAGATGGTATAGAATCACTCCCCAGTGAATAACATTCCAGGACATCGGGAGACACTGTTGCGACACTGGATGAGGACACGAACGTCAAATCAAACTCAGTGAATGCGCGACCCAGGGGCGGTAGTCTGGTTGCATCATGTCACGCAATGTGTATATTTATATATATATATACATATACATATAATATATATATATATATAAATTATATATATATGCGTACTAACGTACTATATAATATACACTTGCTTCAGATGGTGCCAAAACCATCAACATACCCCCCAAAGATTTCCTGGTGGGTGAACCAACCGTATCTTATGTGGATGCGGGATGATGCGGGTCGTCCTGCGGTCGCTGAAAAGTTCCTTCCGGCATTGGAATGATGATGGGAACCTTCGCTTCATTCAGCGCCTGCCAGGCTTCAAGTGGGAGCTTACCAAAAGGCCCCAATTGATAAATACTGATGATGATACCGATACCCATCTTCACGACAAGAAAAAGCGAAACCTCTACATTCCATACAGTTCGACCTTGTGAGTCTGGACTTGGAGGTGTTCTTTGGGGAGATTTAGGGTAGGGCATCCCGTCCTGGTTGGAGAACCTATTGGCAAGTGACGACTCAGGTGACCCGGTGAACCGACGGCAACAGTGACCCCGATTGATGCACAATTTGATGCTTATGGATGAGGTATAAGGAACCCCGCCCAAGTGCAAATCTCAAAAGGATTGCCAAGTGTTTGTGTTTGGGTTTTGGCGGCTTCCATTGTCACTTTTTGGGAAAGTCAACCATTGGGCAATCACCAAAAAGTACAATATCAAAAAGTGACGTTTGGCAAAGCACCCCCAATGCATGGCAAACGATGGCAAACGTACATTACCTGCAGAACGACTCAATTCTCGACTACGCATCCACATAACTGTACTTATAATAGGTGCACAGCAGGTAATGCACCGATGTTTATAATATGATATATTATTATTTTGTTTGATCCAAGAGTCCAAGAGACACCTAAAATCAAACCAAAAGACCGCTAGCCCGTACAAGGCAATTCCAAGATGCTTTGCAGAGAACCGCATTTGTCCTGGCCTATGATGATTGATATGTTGGCACCCATGATTCATAGTGACCGGAGGTAATTCACCATTCCCTAACCAATTCAGTGGGACATTCAAAAGTTTTCCATGGTTTTTTCAAGGGTTTTCCTAGGATTTTTGCTGAGTTCCCAACCGCTTGACTACCCTCCGGTAAACTAACATAATTAGCTATGGACAATCACAATGTTTAAGAGGTAAATCGACGAACAAAATGGCAATGTGTAATAGCTATGTAACAAATAACCAGAGGGTAACTGTTACTGGTACCGACTAGCCGTTGCCGCAACGGGAGCCCGTTGCGGCCCGCTGGGCCTGCCAAGTGTTTGCCACCGGCTCCAGGTCGAAGAGTTTTCGCAGGTGGTTCAGATTCCTCAGATCCGAGCGAGTGAGTGGTCGATGAGTGGAACTTTAACTTATACACAGACATATATATATATATATTATAAACAAAATAACAATAATAACTAACAATAATAAAAACAATAATGCTTATTATTATTATATCAATCATAATTAATAATAATAATATCAATAATAATAATAAATATAGAGACAATAATAATGCACATGGATATAGATACTGTAGATTGACTGTAGGTTGACTGTAGATTGACTGTAGATTGACTGTAGAGTGAATGTAGGTATTGCGGATACTGTATATTTATGTATATGGATATATATATATATATCATTTACATGCTATATGTATAAATACGTGTATACATATATATTATTTTTTTTCATTATATAATATTGTAATTAGGTGGCTATATATTTAATCAGTATGCATGAATCTGCATATTTTGAACGCCAACGCGCCGGACAAGTAGACATACATGATCATACATGTCTTCGTACCGGACAACGTAGGCTTGGAAGGTGATTTGTTGTATCGTGCATTGTTGAAGGGTTTCTCGGCTTGAGGAAACTCATTTTGGTACTGAGGCGTGAGCTTTTAACTCAATTTAACTTCAAATCTCTGGGGCCAAGGCCAGACCTCTACCCCAATTTCTTATGCACTATTTCAATGTTTCATAATGTTTCCCTACACCTCAGATATGTTCCTGCAAAGTTCATGGAACAGTGGCTCCAATCCTGTCCGCTCGTCCAAGTGGCATGGATGCGAAGGGATTCTTCTCAGCCAGGTCCTCTGCAATGTGACATGGATATTCCAATATATTCCAATATTTCAATATATAACATATTCCAATATGTTTCCCATAATTTCCACTATGTTCCAACGGTCCAACTTGTGGAGCACCTAACAAGACCCATATTCCAATTTGGTGGTTAAATTCATGGGAGATATTGGGAGAATTAATGAACAAGTCATCAGGGTCCGAACACATTTCGGCAGCAGCAATGTGGATGCCTGATGTGTGTTAGCCAGTCACTGCGCCAAACATCCTCCAACCGATTTATTCAATGCGACCTCAAACATGTTCGAAACCAAGATGTTGCGGGAGGAGGTGACACAATCAAGTAGGCCGAAATCAAACATCGCCAAAACAGAAAGTATGAAAACAACGGGTATGAGAACAATGGGTACTAGCGGGGAAAAAAAACATCAACGATGAAACAAAACACCCAAATCTATTCCAAATCCATCCAACATCCATGGTTCAGTGGAGTACTTCTGGAAGTTCTCCCGACCTTTCCACAGTTGCAGTGTTGAGTACAGCAAAGCGCTTCGAAGATCAGTCCACTCTGGGTCTGTCCCTCCTAGAACTCAAATGTGGCAATAGAAAAGCCTCCATATTTATGGATAATATTCGATAATGTGCGTATTCAAACTTCCATTTGCATTGAAAAGAAGAAACACCATATTTTTTTCCCATGGTTCTCCCATAGTTTTGCCATATTTTCCCATGGATTTTCCCATGGGATCTTGACTTTTCACGTCAACACCGGAGGACGGTGTGGACGGTGTCCTTGAGCACCTTCAATGAGCCGTGGGACGTGAAGGCCATCTCCTCCACGGTATCCTCGGGATACCCAAGTGTTGCTGTTGAAAATGGCCATAGAAATACAATCTGCTTATTGAACATATGGAAAATCCATTCTAAATGGAGGTTTCTACTGGGAGAATCATCTGTAAATGGGCTATTTTCTATAGCTTTCCATAGCTATGTTAAATAACCAGAGGGTAGTTGATTTAATGATTTAATGGCTGTTAAAATGGGAACAATCGAAATCCCATAGAAATAGTAAAAAAAACATGCAAAAATGGGTGGATTGTCCATAGTTATATGTTAGTTTACCAGAGGGTTCTCATACAGTAGATATATAATCAATATACGGGTCAATATTCCTCCATTGAAGCCTTGTAGTCATAAATTATGATACGTTGTCTGTAATGTTGACCCATTGATGCCATATAGACAATGATTTAATGTTCTACTTATCATAAATCACACATAAATGATATTAAATGATGATAAATGTTGATCCAGCGAAGCCGTATGGTGACGCTTGGATGATCCAAGATGACCAACAAACACAGGCCGGCAAGCGTTGAACCACCGGCAGTCTCCAAGGATCCAAGAGACTTTTGCCATCAGGACTTTGGATGGCGTGAATCGCCTTCCAGTCCTCGCCGTTCAAGGCGTTGGGTCAACAAACATTTTGAAAATTGGCACCCAAAAAAGCATGGAATATATGGAATACCTTCTGGTAAACTAACATAGCTATTGAACATGGCCATCTATAGTTGATTTGCCTATTGAAAATGAGGTTTGTCGCTCCTCTGGACCCTTAATATCCTTAATTTTGTCCGATACCCTGCACTGTCGGTCCGCTTGCTTGCTCGGAATACAGCTCGGCTGCAAAATCAGACCTTGTCAAAGAGGCAAGAAGGTGACATACCCTACCGGAGGCAACCAAGCGATGTGGAACATGGTTTAAACAATATTGAACATGAACCCTGAGAAAGGATTGTCTCACCATTTCTTCATGTCAGTCACTCTTTACTCTTCTAAACAAAATAATATGAAATCAATACATGCAAGGCCTCAGCGGCCTGCATTGATCTGACGGCCCTGGGGTTTTCGTTGTGCAGTGGCCGCACTTAGGTCATGGCCAATGAGAGGCTTCTTGCAATGTTCACCGACCATGGCTGCAACTCCTGCTAACGTGAAGCCTCAGCATTTTTGGCGCCAAACACCAGGGGTCTTTCCACATGAACCAAGGAGACAAAATGGCGCAACATTGACCTTCAGCAGCTGAACTTTGATGATAAGGAGGCCCTCCCCAAAGGGTCAGCAGGGGATTGCCATCCAAGCTGTATGCAAGTATATACAAGGTAATACAAGGTACTTACTTGTGATTCCTAATTATACTGAATGCCAGAAAGCCCAGTTAATTGTGGCCATTGCCTATTTCCAGAACCCCTTTACATCCAAGTCATTTGACTGTTCGCCCAGCCACCGAAAATAATCAAATCCACAGGTTTGTTGTTCTCAGAAGACAACACCTCGTCCATAAAAACCGTCGCGCTCGAGAAGAACTCCTGGGTTAGTTTCGGGCGAAGGGAGTGGAAGTACAGCCCAACATCCACTGTCACTGTTGATTCGCCCTCAACAAAGGCATCTGACAGCTGAATTCACACGTGTTTCAAATGTGGGTATGGGGTAAAGCCTCTAGAGACAATATTTGGGTGATGAACATCCAAAACTACCAACTATTTTGGGACTCACAGAGATGCCAAGGTTGTGAACGGCTTTAACCAATTGCCATATTTGAGGACACATTTTCCATACCTGTGCCAACACATGCATACCCCGCGTGTTCGACCACTGTGACAAGGAACTGCTTCGGATCGTGAGAGCGCAATCCTTGGAGCACTTATTCACTGGCCACTTCCAAATTCTTCCAAGCAGGTATCGACATCAGTTACGTCTCTCACATGTTCCCACTTAAAACTCACAACATCACTTACAACTCTTCGACATGACTTACAACTCGCACAATTTCTCACTTACAACTCGTAACATCACTTACATCACTTCCACATCACCTAGGACCTTATAACATATAACTCAGAACCGTTTAGGGTTTGTTGGGGGGTGGGAGGGTCTTTTCTCAACTAGCCATGTAGGGCGTTGTTGGGCGTGGTGACGGATCCCTGTGAGTGATCCTTGAGAGAGTTGCAAGTGATGCTGCGACGAGAGTTGCAAGCGATGCGGCTCCCCTTCAAAACTGTTCAGTATGACGATCAATATCTCAACGCTCCCTGCTCATCAGGCAGCCACCATCTGAAATAGGAGGAGTGGTGTTTTATTGATGTGATATCAAAGCGCACACTGGAATTGCATTGTGCTCGCCAACATCCCCACAGAAACCCACCAGGTCTGCCAAATTCAACCCTTTGGTCCTCTCGACCGATGCAACATGCCACTTTTTGCCGAGTGACATTTGCAAAAGTTCCGTGCTGTGAGACAAAAGGAAGTTGGCCAAAACACTGTCCATACGGGCCTCCCAAAGACAACAAGCAGGTGAGTTTTTTTGGGGGGCAGGCCCATGTCTATGTCGTGCCCATACTCCATTTTCCAAACCAACAAGAGTAAATGTGGCAAAAACATAGTAGGTCAATGCAAATTTCATGAAATTTCAGGATCCTAAAATGGAGGTACTGTACCATATAAGGCCGTATTTTGTGGGGATATTCCCTTACATAGGCCTTATATAATCCTTATATAGGGTAGGTACCATCAATTTAGGTTCCTGCTGCATGGCCATTGAGTAGGTGAATGTGGATGATGCTACTAGTGACTGCTACGAGTGGCTAGGCCACCATCTCTCCCACCTTGAGACAAACATGCGATCAGACTGTGAGGTTTCAGAAAAACAACTTCCTGTATACCCTGTATGTGACATATATGTAATGTACTGTGGATGAAAGAATTCCGGCACCAGTTGATAGGTGGTAAACATCCCATTAATTATGTATAGGGTTTCAACCATCCTTCTGGTGGTGCAGGATTTCTTCCACCCACCGTATACATGTATAATGTTGCTATGTGATGTCACACTGATGCCTTCGGTCCCATGAGGTCACCATCCAAATTGCGGATTTTGCTCGGGGATACGTAACCAATACGAAATTCCATGGGATCAGTAAGGAAAAAGATCTACAGGAAGCATCGTATCAGCTAATGTATGTTACATTGTTTTTTTCCATGCGTTTTTTAATGGAAAATCCCAATCTAAAATGGATGATTTGGAGGTACCCCTAATTTAGGAAACCTCCATGTGTTAACATCAATGTTACATGTCTTTCCATGTTTTCCATTGCTTTACCATTGAATACAGTGGGTTCCTGCAGATTTCAGCACCTCCGAGTTGCCACCGCTTGGTCGAAATCGGATGCCACCACGGGAGACCTCCTGGGAGAGCGGTCAACATGATGACACAGCTTTTGCCGTCCGGAAAATGACGGTTTTAATGGGAAAACTATGGGAAGATCTTGGGAAAATCTGGGAAATCCCGGCACGAAATAGAGGTTTTGGTTTGGGAAATCATCTGTTTTGGTGGGGGATTTTAAAGTGCCATGGTTGATTACCGGAGGGTATGCAAAGTGAAGGGGATTTGGACTGGATTCTTGCACATTGAACTTTGAAGAATGGAAGGTGTTGAACCAGATTTTCTGTGGTTTCCGAGCCAGAAAATTGGGGGTAATAAACATTAATAAAGGGGCAGAATGGATTGTTCTTTAAAACCAATTCTGGGATCTACCCTCTGGTAAACTAACATAGCTATGGAAAATCACCATTATGAATGGATAAAACAACTATAAATGGCAATTTTCAATAGCTATGTTAAATTTTCGGAGGGTATCATATTGACCTTGACCAATAATTCATATCAAGTGATACGTGCTGCTTGGTGGAGCCACATTCTGCGCCAGGCTGCGGCATGCTTCTGAACAAAAGCGGCATGGGTTGCCTCTGTGCAAATCGTCACCTTGGCACGGGATGAGCCAGGTTTCACCCAAGACCCGACCCATCTTATGGATACTATGCATTATTTGTTTAAACCAGTTGCTTTCTATCCCTACTGTTCTTTCTCTCAACATCCGAAACCTGCCTTTGCCCGAGGGGTGAGACATCTGAGACATCCCATTGATCCAGCATTTTCTTCCTCAAAGTCCTCATATTCATCAAAACCTCACCCATCTTCGAGTCTTTCCACTGCCAGTTCCAGTGGTCTATCCCAAAACAAAAAACAGTGACACCGTAAGTTACGCCACAGATACACCACACATAGTTGCTGCTGAAACATGCTGAAACTTCCCATTTTGGAGCCAAGTGGCCAGCCATCCCAACTCCTCGGCCAACCCCCGCGCCAATGCCACGAAGGGTTGCACGTCGCCCCGTGTGCCACGCGTCATCATAAAGACCTCACTGCTGGTTCGGCTGCATCCCAGTGAGTAAGTGGGTAATACCCACTGGTAAACATACAAATCATACAAAACACTAATACTAAGGAAAATATATATTCAGTTCTCGTAGGTATATCATTATCAATGGTGGATTTTCTATAGCTATGTTAGTTTGCTGGAGGCTGGAGGGTAACCATACGACATCCCAGTAATATCCAGTAATACATGGAGTATCCCAAGTTATTATATGGGTTGTAAACAACTTTCTAACTGGGATACACATCCAAGTGATTCTGCGCATGCGGAAATTGGGAAAGGTCCAAGCATGACAATTTAGCCAACCAAAATTATGACTTACAGTAATTAACTGAATTAACCAACAAAAATTGGGAATCTCAACCAACCCTTACAGTAAATATGGGAAAACCAAACTTGCGGAACCAACTGAAACTCAAAACATTGTCGAAACATGGGGAATTTATATATATCCCTAAATGTCCGTCGATGGGAATTTAACTGTGAGATTCTGTACTTTATTTTCAAGCAAACTGTGGGAATGGGGCCCTCAGTTTGCCATGATAAAATTCAGGGATTCTTTTTGGCCCCTCCAAGACACCAATGATCTCCATATCTGCGATCTCATATCTTATACAACAATGCAGCGGGCTATGACCATTTATATGAACCACCTATATATATATATATATATATGTGTGTGTGTGCTAGCAGGCCAGTTCGTGAGTGAAACAAAAACACTTGACTTTGTGACCTTATGCCCCTAATATATATATATATAATATATATATATATATATGTATAACCTCTTCGAGCCGCCCCCCAAGGTTTCCTTGATGAATTCAACACGATTTTTCAACCAGCTGAAGGCCGACCAGTATCGGCACCTCTCACGCTGCAACCAAGTAGCGTGCACTGGAAACCTGGGATCATTGGTTTAGGCTGGTGTCCCTCAATTTGACCATCATTGCCCTGGGTAAATTATAACGACCTCAGTGTTCTCCCTCACTGGAATAATGGTTAATGAGGGAAATCATCCCCAGATGGCCGAACCATTCAGATTAGTGAAATACTATAATTTACCCAGATGGTTTCGTGAGTTTGGTCAGTGAGGTTGCTATAAATTCAGCAGAACCGTCGGGTGCATCTTTTTTCGTGTCCTAGATGTCTGGTGGAAACTTGCATGGAAACTTGCAATGGCGGAACGCTGGGTGCCAAAAAAGGTACACCAGTCCCTTTCCATCAAAAGGAACCTGAACAACAGCCATTTCCTCGAGAAATTGGCCAGTCCTTGTCAGGTTTGCATGGGCTTACCTTTTCACTTGAAGTGTGAGACTGAAACAGTACCTTGGCACCACCACCCAGCCCAGCATCCCCACCGTTCTCATGTCAAGCTTCTGCTCGATGAACATGCACTTGGGCAGCGTCCAGCTTTGTGGTAACGACTCTTGAACCACCTGAGGGCAACCCGCAAATCCAAAATCATGAAAGAAAACCAAGTTTAAAAGTTATTCTAAACATAATCATAATCATATTGACACATTACATATTAAATTACACTAGCAGGTCCACACTTGAAAGACAGCCGTGGCGTTTCATGCTAATCACGCCAAAAACGCAAGCAAATGTGCAATTTCTTTTTCTTGGAGCACCAAGAAACTAGTAAAAATATGTGAAAATCAGGATTGCAAATTGCAACGCCTTTTTCTTCAGTGCTTCAGCAGTCGTCTCAGTTCATGTAAGAAGATGTAAGAAGTCGAAGGCATTTACCGGTCCAAGACTGTGTATCCATACCCACTGGTACACGTTTTTGCCCTGACATCCTCTGACATGATTGTATGGCCATCTTGTGGGTGCGAAACATGTTTTTAACAATGGATATATATATATATATTTAACTTAATTATCCTAATGCATTGCATTGCTGCACCTTGCCAGACAACCTGGGACTGCACCTTGGAATATAATATATATATATAGAAAGAAAGAAAGAAAGAAAGATAGATAGATAGATAGATGCATGGATGGATGGATGGATGGATGGATAGATAGATAGATAGATACATACATACGTATATTGCAAAGGAAGTTCAAAGCGTAGCATCAAGAGCCCGCTGAGAAACTGCAAAGAAAGTTAAGAGGGAAACATCAAAAGCCTGTTAGAAATTGCAAAGGAAGTTCAAAGCGTAGAATCAAGAGCATGTTTTAAATTGCAAAGAAAATTCAGAACGTAGCACCAAGAGTGTCTGAACAACATTACAACCGCCCGCCCTCCAACCATAATGGTAGAACAACTTCTAAGTGACGCGCAAACATGAGAAGTCAGGAGCCAAAAAAAAAGGATATATACCAAGAGTGAAAAACGGGCTATTGGCAAAGTTTGAACCAGGGAAAATTCTGTAAAAAACAGTGCGAAATCACCCTGAACTGGACAAACATACGCGGCCGTCTACCAAGCGTGTGCCCAGCACTGGGTGCCCTACGGACAAAGAGATCCGGCAGGGCAGATACCTCAGATTGGCCACTCGAAACGTGCTTTCCCCCACCAAAAACGACTTTACAATGGGAGGCCTCCCAGTTGTAAGTTGCTTCATAAACCCATTGAATCTAGTTATAATCTAGTTGTATCCCCCATAAATACTAGTTAAACAAGTTATGTCAACTTAGCTATCTAGGGGGCCTCGCCTTGATGATTTTTTTCACGTTGATTCGATCTGAAGAAAGCTGTATAAGTAGCCTCTGGTTATGACTAACATAGCCATGGTATAGATGGCCCATAGAAATAGATGGTTTACCTATGAAAAAATGGGTGGATTTTCCATGGCTATGTTAAATAACCAAATGGTATATATGGTATATGATGAGGAATAACTGATACGCTTGGGAAAAAAAAACAAACATGATACGGGATGCTGCTTCTGAATCTTCTGAGAGGACCAGGCACTCATCACTGACCAAAAAACGGAAAGCTACACTGCGACGTTGATGACCAGGCTTCAGCACCATCAACTCTGGATACATTTTTTGCTGTTTTAAGGAAAGACGGAAAAAAGGAAAAACATATAAAACTTGCACCTGAAACATCCAAAAAACCGTATAGAGTATAGAAGAATTGAACAAAATCATACTGTAGTTCAGGAAGCTGTGTTTTATTTCTTTTACGGTGGCCCTTTTTGATCTTGGATGATCTTGGTATATCTTGGTGGCCCTTCTAAGCAGTTCCTCATCAGCCACGATGCGGGGGGATATCGCCCAGCACAGCTTCATCACAGCTGTCTGTCACTAGGTGACCGCCCGCCTCTTCTAGTGAGGTGGTCTTCAAAAATCTCATGACTATCATGACCAAAAAGACTGCTACCGTGATAGATGCTGGTCATTATATATATATATGTATATATATATATACAATTACATATATATATATGTGTGTGTGTGTATGCATGATCTATAAACATGTATATATATATATAAGTATGTATATCTATTATTATATGTATATACGGTTATGTACACTACAATAGTATATTAATATATATTAATATATATATATTAGTATGTATTAGTATGCTAGTTTCAAAATCGTCCTTTTCCTCTGTTCCTGAACAAATCTTGGAACCATCTGTTTATCTGTGGGGGGAAAGGTGGTCTGGCCTTGCCAGGGCATGGTAGTCTCAATAATTGTGGGCCACATGTAGTACTCACTATAAACAAAACATCTTCAGACCCCTATTTCTGAAGATGCCAACACATAACATCATATAACATCATATAACTACATTGACTCCAAGGGGGAAATGAGGCAATGCAAAAACATCTACTCACTCTTCCTGGGTTTTTGACATTTTTGATTGGATCTATCAGGGAGGTGAGGCTATGAAAAAAAACAAAGGGGGGTGATTATAGGATTTAATGATCTACCACATCAATATCATGTGGTAGCAAGGCGCCGGCCTTGCTACATGCTTCAGGGATCTCAATGCTCCAAGACACATTGCAGCAACTACCAAGTTTTCGCCATCCATACCCTCTTCGCACGTGTTTTGGAAATGTCGCAAAACAACCCCGTCAAACAAACCTGCTGTTCACAATTAAATAACTTCGAGTTTTGCTTGTACACTTTAGATCCTTAGATCATGTTTCACTTTCCATTTTACCGAAATACAATCATAATATATGTTTGTGTGTGTGTTACCCTCGGGTGATTCAACATAGCTATGATGGCTCATGTTTAATTGATTTACCTACTTTTTTAGTGGTGATGTTCTATAGTTTTTTGAATACCAGAGGGTAAACCAACTTGAACCACCACTTATAGATGATGTTCCATTTTTTTGCCAGGGCCTCCAAATGCTGTTCCATGATTGTCCCATGCAAACCTCCATTTATATACTTCGGGGATTCCCCACCACAGCAAATCTACCTCCGGCTCCGCCAGCAGAGAAGATAGTGGCATGCACACCTCCTGGGGCTAAGCAGCTGAAACATATATGGGAACCTAACATGTATGTAATGTGTATATATATATACATATTATATGTATCACCATATTGCCATATATCCCAATTGTACCCAATACATATATATATAATTATATATAGCCAGTGAAAGCAACGAATAGAAAAGATCACTAGCAAATAGCCAAGTAAGCTTCGATAGTTTTTTTTGAGTGCGTAGGTTTGGCCTATCATTCATTGCAGCCATCTTGGTTTCAAGCCCCTGCTGAGTTGTTTATCTTGTACAAAGGGTACTATGTTTGGCATGTTTAGTTCCATGATTGCCTTAGAACCCACCTGACCCTTTTTGTTGGATCTAATGACGGGTTAGTGGAACCATCCAAAACATGGGGTCGCTTGGGTTCCAAAACTATAATAATTATATAGATTTGTTACAGCTGAACTTTGCTGATGTTTCCCAACTACACCCACTGAAAACAAACACTATATACCCTCTTGGTCATCTAACATAGATCTGAAAAATGGCCCGTTTAGTTCAATGATCCGTGATATTCATGATGATTGACCCGTAATTTAGTGGTGATGTTCCATACATTCGCTCCGTATGGAAAGCTATGTTCAATAATCAAAGGCCATCCTTACTGGTGCTAAACGAAGGGAATGAGGGAATGATCCATAATCACTAGTAATAATCATCCCATTCCCCCATTCCCATCCATTCCCTACGTTTAGCACCAGTAAGCATCTGCTTGAGCCCAAAAAAGCCCTCCGCGCACCGCGCACCCCGATGGTCTGATCCATGACGCCCACGCTTTTGTCATAGAGGGTCAGGCGAACGTTGGTCGTATCCAAATCCCACCTGAAACGTAATCCGTGGCCCGTTGATTTCATGGAAGATTTACCGGAAAACATGGTGCTTACCATCATCAACTTCAATTTTTTGGTGATTTCCATGTTGTTGTTCCCTTAAACTCATCTCATCCATTCTAAGGTAGACTGACTAGAATAGAATTCTTTCAAAATCGAGGAACAAAAAACGCAGTCTGAATGATCATGGTCAACTGGTTTGTGATGAAAACTTCGTTCCCATGCCGTCCCATGCGTCCCAAAACTGCCAGCAAATTGTAACAGCTGATAACCATCCCAAAATGTGTATGATTTCCAACATTGAAACCACAAACCAGGAATCATGAATATCATCTTATCCGCAAGTACCCTCCGGTGTCATCAAACATGACAATGAACAATCTCCTAATGAGCATTTTTCAACGGGAAAATCATGGAACCCTCTGGTAGTTCAACATAGCTATTGAAAATCACCCATTTCAATGGGAATTTCAGGACCCTAAATTGGAGACCTAGTGTACCAGAATTTCAGGCCATATTTTGTGGGGGATATTCCCTTACATATAGCCCATCATAAAATAGGCCATACATATGGTATACGCATCTCCTTTTTTAATCGGTGGCTGTTGCACCTCTCAGGCACGATGTTCTGCGACGCCGCTAGCTTAGCACTCTTGCCTTGGAGCTAAGCTAAGGATCAAGAGATATATGGATGATATGGATGGAATGTAAGGTGGTAAACCCAACCCATGAATATCCCATGAGTAAAACATCCCATGAAAACCAATCATGTGGTGGTCATGTCTAAAAGGAAATAGGTCATTTTACATCATCCCAACTAGGGATACACACACACACGCACACACACATACATATATATATATGGGTATGTCTCAAAATGAGGAGTGCGGCCCGGGAAGTTTGACTAGGGGGTATGATTCGTGGGTATGATTCGGGGTATGGTTCGGGGGTATGGTTCGCAGAACTCGAACTTCCCACCCTTACTAAAATCTGCATACCTGAAAAAAAGACACAGCCATATATATATATATAATTATATTATGATCGGCATTTTAAACAATTATGTGTCAGTTAACCATCACTCTCTGAAAGGTTATGTCTTAGTCAGGACTTTTCATTCTTTTATATTCGTTTGGTCACTTTGATCACCAAGACCACCTCCAAACAAATACCCTTTCCCCTGGCACCCCAGGAAAAGACAACTATTCAGACTATTCACAATGGCACTACAGTAGGCCTCTAGGCATGGAAGCTGCTGCCAAGAGACGTTTCCCTCGCCACGACCACCTTAAGTTAAAGATCCCAAGCAACTTGGCGCCACAAATACCAACAAGACTTATGAATATGGACAACCCATAAACCATTCAACATTTCACCAGAATGGGGAATACAAAGAATTTCCAAATTGGGGTATTTGTTGGTTTAGCACAACGTGTGATTTATTGAAGGGGCCCCATGTTGAAACAGTCATGATGTTTTGATCATTCCAAACTTGACTTCATCACGGTGAGATCAGGTCATGTGGGTTCGCTTGGAGCATTGAAACACTATCTTTTTGGACTTTTCAATTGCCACTCAAGTTCATTTAAGCAATGTTTTTATTAACCACAGTAGGGCACCAGGTAGCTTCAAAGTTGGATTTGCCTGGATCATCTGAGATACTACTTCACAGGTCAAACATTTAGCAGGACTATGCAGGTCTTCAACGAATTCAAAAAGGGCAGTCACCGTAAGGACATCCACTAGTTTAGTGGTTTAGCAAAAACCTCCCATGAATCTATGAGTTGTGTTTGGTAATTTCACCCCCACTTATAGCCCTCTTGGCCCTGAACACCCGCACCTTGAGTCATCTTTTACGATTTTTCCAGGTACCCTCTGGTAAACTAACATAGCAATGGAAAATCACAATTTTTAATGGGAAAACTCACTATAAATGGCCATTTTCAATAGCTATGTTAAATTACCGGAGGGTAGAATCACTCCCACCCCAGGTACCGCCCATCAGCCAGACCCTCTTTCTGCCAGAATCAAGGTACCCCTGCTGCTGCAAGTGCCGGGTCTCGCCCTCTTCACCAGCTGGTAAGCTCAGGGTTTGGTTCCACACCTTGGAGAAAATCAAGGTATACCTTCCCGAACGGGGGCTGTTTAAAAGTGACATGTTTAAAACGCCCCATGAATGGTTATACACCTCCAAAAATACATTAGTTAACCAAGTTATCAACCAACTTAGCTAGGGGGCGACCATGGATTGAAATGATTAGAGGTGAGATCTGTGATGAGATACAAGTAAAAAATGAAACATATATACACAATCATTGAGATCGAGGGAAGCTAAAACTGGACCCAAGTAGTACCATGCCAGGAAAGGCACTGCAGTTTAATGTCTGGCAAACAGAGCCGCGACAACTTCCAGGTGTCCACAATAAAATGCTCCTTGAACCTGCCAGTCAGATTCAACAAACCGAACCCAACAAGTTCCAGAATCTTCATTGCTATCTCTTTCGCTTCCGGCAGAGCTTCTTTGTGCCTGCCTGCCAATGCTTACCAATATGAATCTACTTATAGATGGTTTTAATTCTTAGATGTCTTATTTAAATCAGCTATATATATATATAAGTAAATTTAATATCCAATCTTAGCTGATTATAAGTAATCTTAGAATGGTTAACCATCAGGTAATCAGCTAGCCATGGTTTACCTTGGCATTTTTTCAATTTTCCTTGGGACACAACGCTAGCCGCTAGCCCCAGTAAATCGGCTGAGCCACGGGATTTCGGCTCTTAGGCGTGATGTGCGATCTGGCCGTTGGAAACATGACAGGGCGATGGTTGATAATTTTTTGGGGGTACCATTCGGACAAAACATGACATCACTGCAAGTAGCAGAATCAAACAGATTGATACACACATTATTCACAGATTGATTCTTGATTATAAATGGTTATAGACAGATAACAACAATAATATGGTTTTTTATAATAACCATCATTCTGTTGATCATTTGGAAGTACCAGCCTGAATTAGCAAACAAATTCTTGATTAACACAGGGGGCAGCAATTTGCCAACCACTCGGCTAACCCCAGGCAACAGCTCTGAAGCAGAGTAGAGTCGTTAAGTAGTTCGACAGGTTCAAACCTGTAATATGGCCACCATTGTCAGCAGTTTGGCTTAGCTACAGACCTTTATCAAAAGCACTGGCTGTTCGCATTTTTCTCGGCTGTTCATATAGTTAATTCATGTTGATTAACCAGCGATTAAGTGGGATGATCCTCCAAAGAGCTGTCCAGAGCTAAGCCTGGCAGCCGCCAAAGTTTCCTGCTCAGCGTTCAGCACCTCCACCAAGACCAAGGGATCACAACGACCTTGGCGGCTGGTGGATTCTCCAATGCTGATTGGTTGAATCCTCAGTCCTCATATCCCAGATATCCCATCATAGCGCCATATATATATATATATGTGTATGATACTAATAATATATATATATATATGATATAACAACAGTTATAATAATAACATATATATAATACTAATATGATAATAACTTAAAAATAATAATATTACTTTTAAGTATAATAAATATCTATATAATAATAATAATAAAAAATAATAATGATAAAAACAACAACAATAATAATAACAATAATAATAATAATTTTGATACTAGTATATATATATATATGATTGCTGGAGATATCATTCATGGTATGCCGCACTACATCACCAGAATAACATACAATAAACATCGTTGGTTTAAGTTGGTTTTACACGCCATGATTTTTGGGTACACACCCCAAATATCTGGTGAGCAGGGTTCAAACCAGACATGTCCTTCAGTTGGTTGGTTCAGAACGAGATTCTCTGAGTTCATGATCATGAAATGATGATGCACCATAATATTGGATAACAAAACCCTGCTTTTGTATGATGTTACCCCATTGGTGGTTTCCTAAGAGGAGGTACCACCAGTTATCATCATTAAAATAAAATATAATAATGAATCAACAGGGCTTTTGAACACTGCTAATTTGAGTTGATGACGAGACTATCAAGACATGAGACGGAGACGGGCCCCCCAGTCCATATATAGGTTGTTTCTGAAGCAGTGGATATACTCTCACCATTAAATTCAATTCAATGTTTGTTTTTCTTGGGGGACATCTATGGAGATGTTTTTCAAGCTGACTCCCAAATTGAATTCTTCAATTATTACCAGCTATTTCTATAAAGTCAACCTGAATTCAATTCTTCTGGAACAAAAACTACATCTTTAAAGTAGAAATGGCCATTCCAAAGTTCCAGATTGAATTCTGAACAGCGACACCCCCACATCCCTGCAGCTGAACTGCCACCAGGGTGTCTCACATGCATGGCTGTCTGCGACACACCTTCGCCCCATCGCTGTCACCGCCCAAAAACATCTCAAGGAATCCAAAGGCAAAATCATGCGATCCTGACTTATGGATACTTATGCTGACTTATGGATACTTATGGGGGATATCAATGGGATATGCAGCCTTCATCCATTTTCAAGTTTGACCAGATTGCGATGACTGACATTCCGAACATGATGCATCCACCATCTCAGCCTCAACTTAATGGCTTTTAGGTGATTTAACCTTGCAGTGGGCCCATGTTGCCCAATTCTTTGTGCGAAAATGGTGACCTAGCTGCAATTGGACCATTTCCAATTGCCGCGTTAGGTTACCAAAAGGTTTATCATGGTTTATCCACGCTTCACGATCTGACAGGAACTTACATCACATCCCACTTGTTTGATCTTTACATTACAATATAACCTTCAATATTAATCAAACATGGCAAATTTCTAACAGACAAACTACCATTCTCCATAGCCAACCCGGTTTCATCGTTTTGATTTTTCGTGTGGAAGTGGAGCGGTTCAACATCCCCTTAAGTTAAGGCCCTTAAGTCATAAAACCTTGATGTGCCAAGCCTCAGGATGCGTCTGCACTAGTAATTGCGCGTTTGGAGCACGGTGTTGCAGAGGTATATAGGGCCGGGTACATGGAGCGCAGCTGTGGGACACCGCGGTCAATGTTTTTTGCGCAAACCATCTTTCCGTTGAATACGATGTATAGTGTTGAAATTCAGAAAACACAACCCTTCCCCCCGCGAAAATGTTATTTCACCCATTTTCCAACATGTAAGTTACTCCACGTTTTTTTCGGAGAAAAAAAACGAAACATCGGGGTTCCAACAGTTTTGCAGGAGTACGAGTGCGGAGCACGAAGGTTAACACGCATGGCAAGCTTGCAGGCAAAGTTGCGTGTGGAACACGGTATAAATGCACGTATGCACATGGAGCACACACCTAGCTTGGCGATCTGTGAGTGGACTATGCACGTGGAGCAGGGTGTTTTGTAAGGACGTGGCAGGCCGCGGGATCACCGCATTATCCCGCAAGGCTTGCGCATGGCCAGTAATATCCAACATGGCCATCAAAACCATCACTTAGCATCACTTACTTTGGGATCGCCGGGGACTTAGGCACTTAGTAAACGTCGTTATAAGTTATCTATCCTTTGGGCAAGTGATGGCTATGTTAGTTAAGTGATGGCTAAGTGATCAAAACTTAGGTGGCACTTACTATTGACTTAGGTTACTTATAAGTGTAGTGTGTGCTAAGTGTTGGTTACTTAGCGATCACTTAGCGATCACTTAGCGATCACTTAGCTTTTTTCTCAAAACCTACATAATATGTCGATTGTCTTGGGTAATCTCGCAGGAAAAGTCATGTTGCGCAGCAATTTTGGTTCCAGTCATGGCAGCTGAAAAACAGATAGATGCCGCGCAGAAATTCCTACGTGGAATTCAGTCCCTGGTCTCCTACGCGGAGGTCAGGGACAAGCAGGCTCAAGGGGTGCAAAGATCTTTGCGGAAGGTAGTCTCCTTCACTGCTGCCCAAGGAATGCATTGCCTGCCGCAAGCTCTTAAGCACCTTGGCGTGGCATTTCTCGATGAAAAGGAACAGGGCGCGAGAGTTCCAATGGAGCCGCAGGTCTGCAGAAATGGTGCAGAAGATGTTGCGGCACTGGTGCAAGGAGCACAAAGGAAGGGTGACAGTGAGCTTGCAAGCTGTTGGAGGAGGCGCGCACTTGTCCGCGACCTGACCGCAGCTGAGCGCGAGTGACCGCGGTCTCAGAGAGCCCAGACGACTTGTCCGCGTGATGCTGACCGCGGGTGGAAAAGGTAGGGCCGGTGAGGCTCTGTTTGTCTATGGTTGACCGCAGTGCCCATGTAATGTAGTGGGGTAGTAAGTCCGTTTGTCTGCGGATGTCGGCGACATGAACTTGCATGAAATTGCATAATTGGGACCTTGTCCGCGGGCATTGGAGCGTTTCGTTGTGATTTCGCTTCCTTGCATCAGTGTGATCCGGCAGATGTGTGCTACGTGCAGCATTGAAATAATCCATTGCCTTGCACAAGGAGATTCTCTTTCTGTGGTGGTGCACACATTGCAAGCAATGCCCGAGGCATCCTTTCTCAAATGGAAGCGCCTCAGCAGAGAAAAGAAAATCATTGCAGCATCCACGCTGCTGCAGCATGAGCCTATGCGATTGCTGCGTGAACACAAAGACGGTCTTTGCCTTCTACGCTGACCCTACAATGGTCGGTAACAAAAAGGTGTGAAAGCGACTTGATGTTAACACACGTACTGATGAAAATTTGCAAAAACCACTCACAAACGAAAACCTTCAAAAAAACATATGAAACACTTAGCTTCACTTAGCGGTCACTTAGCTCACACTTAGCCGGACTTAGCAACCTCAAAACCTAAGTGCCAGCTAAGTGCCTGCTAAGTTCCTAAGTGCCCCGGCGATCCCAAAGTAGCAAACCTGGAGAAAGAAAACGACATGGTATATGCAAACTTCTTGGGACCGGGAATCGCAGGTTTTGAAAACTGGAAAATCCCCGAACTACATAGAGGTTTCCAGCTGGGGAAATCATCGAATTGATGGATTTTCCAACACACTACGTTTGGATGACACTGTTGCGGCTAAATCCATTATCCAATGATTCTTATCACATTTTGATTTTCCTTAAACCATGTTAAACCACATTATATAAACAACATTAAATGGTGAATGTGCATAATAAATCCCCTTTCTGTGGGTTTAAATCCAAATAGCACCCAAACAAAATCCGCCCGCACCGAAGGTGCTGGGGCGTGATCGTCCGGATGGCACTCGTAAAAGGTTACAGGTTTACCTGGGGGGGGGGGGGCATTATTCGGCCAAAACCTCCTGTTTTTGATAGGTCGTGACGTCGTGACGCTTGCTTCAAAAAACACTGTAAAAAACAGTACGGAAGACACCTGTTCGTGAACGCGCCCGTCCAAAATCGGCAAGCGAAAAGTGAAAAAAACCCGTGTTTTTCAACTTTTTGACCTCAATTTTTTGGTTTGCAACATCTTTTTTTGCGGTTCCGCAGGTGGCCGGGCCCGGAGGCGGATTTTTGAGTTTTTGGACCCGTTTTCGGACTGATTTTCGTCGTTTTGTGATAGCAGAAACACTGGTTTTTACAGTGTTTTTCTGTTTTCTGCATGCTTGACGGCTAGCTTCAAAACTTCCAAAAACCTCGTAAATTACGCTGTTTTATGTTACGGTGTGAATGAAAACATCGTAAATACCAGTGTTTTTTGACGTTGGTTAAAAAAACACTGTAAATTACAGTGTTTTTGGCCACCTGACCCTCAAAAACCATGGTATTTGCAGTGGTTTCTGCTTCTCACCGCGCAAAAACACTGTAAATAACAGCAATTTCGCCGTTTTTTCATGTTTTTCGCTATTTTTTGAACTGCGTTGGTCCGCTATACATGGCTATCAAATTCTTCGCGTTTTTTTTCCGACAATCAGTACTTTCGGATGTTTTTGGTCTCAATGGCCGACATCATTGGCAGTTACGAGCGGTCGCGAAGGTGTGAGAACAACATCGTTCAAACCGTGGCGGCCGCACAGGGGTTCTTGTCGCGGAGCGACGGCAATAGAAGAGAACAATGGCAGTAGAAGAGAACAATGGCTGACATCATTAACAGTGTGGACCGTTCACTCGATATGTACATATATGATCTTTATATATATATATAGATATATCTCTGCTGTGTGAGCCCAACGATGCGGTGCGGGCGGTTGCCGTCGCGAAGCGACGTGAATATGTACATCATCCTTAACATTAAGCCTTAGCACCCTGCCACCCCGCCACGGCGCGCCGTAGGCAGTGGTTCCAACGGCCAAGCCCACCACGACCCCCGGGGCGCCACAGAGGACGCCAGCTGCAGCAGGGGCCAAGATGGTGGCGGAGGCGCGGGGGCCCTGGTGCTTCGTTCCTAAGCGGACGGAAATGGTTGGAACGATGCTTGATGGGTGCAACAGGATATATCTGTATATGTAAAAAACACGTTACATGTATGAATAAACATCAACAATTTCGTTGGCGGACATATTTGGGTATAATTAATTCCGAAAATATTATATATATATATAATTATATGCGCAAGTTGTGTTTTCTTACTGGCTTACAAATCTAAACCAAACAACTTATTGGCGACTATCAAAAAAACAAATGATTCAGCAGCCAATCAGACACCAATCATGTGCTGAAGTTTACAAGCCGAACGTTAGCATTTCCATGATTTCAACGGCAGAAAGCGACTATTAACAACAACTCATCACTGTCACTTTCACTGAGATGGATTGCAAAAAAAAGTGTTAGACTGTTAGAACATGTTAAAAACATTTTTCCTGAGACTCTCTTGACATTTTCCCAGTGAGCACTGACTTCTAGCGTCCGAAGACAAGAACACCACTCAGCTTTGGACAGGGCAGGCACTCAAACATCATGAAACCACATCACAGTAGAATCGTAGAACAACTATCCTTCAAAGCCACTTGCCGCTTTGGTTTTGACTTTGCATTTTCTGGCCTCATTTATATACCCACAGCAAGAAAATCCCACAAGGAATCTGCATGGCCATCATCCTAAGGTCCCAGCTCCCAAGTAGTTCAGGAACATTCACAGCCTGAGGGCGATCCCAACGGCTTCTCGCTTCAGCTAGAATATGGTTCTGCCCCAAAATGGGCTACGGCTGTTGAAATACAGTAGGTGTTAAGCTCATCTTGTTGTTGTGGGTTTGAGACCTTGCAAGCATTCATAAACGTGAACCAAAACTGGATGGTCGCTTCATCCCCCTGATAAAACCTACCCAGTCGATGGATGTCAAGTGGGATTCGCGTCCCAAAAAATGACAGAAAATGGACCAGAAAATGGACCAGAATTGAAACACATTGAAACAACAAGCCGGAAACATGTTCTTGGAACATCTTGGTTCTATTGCCCACAGCCGGCCCCATCAGCCAGAGTCTAGGCACACTCTTCAAAACCTCGAGTGTAGAGGGCTGGGACACTGACATCATCCGACGTCCCACATGTCTTGAAATGATTTTAAGAAAGTGTAACCTCCAATAATGACCAGAGCCAACTGTTTTCTGTTCGACCTCACACCTTAGCCAACCCTGGTTCAGTGGACTTGTTTACCTGTGATGTTCTCTCTCTCTCTCTCTCTGTCTCTCTCTCTCTCTCTCTCCCCCCTCCCTCTCCATATGTAAACAGTATAAGTATACAGTAAAAAAAAAATATATATATATATATATACGTATTAATACATACACATCCAAAATCACATCCACAAGCAGTAGCTAGTTTGGTCTGAACAGCCGGGCGGTGCCAAACAGAATCAATAACTCTGAAGCGGCGGTAAAAAGACACTTCAGCATCCCAAAGAAGGGCCGACACTAAACTTTGCATAGCCTATGCAAAAAAAAACATACCATATTCCACAATTTCCATACTTATCAGGGTTTTCTGATATTTTATGTCAACTGTCCAGGGTCAAAGCTATCATGCTTGTTCTTGTCCAATCCAACACCAATATACCAATGTCAAAATGTCGATTTTTGCACAGCTTAGCCCCAAGAATGCGAGCAACTAATAAACCACAAGACTCGTGGAACTATCCAAGTATATGCCATCGGTGCGCTGGTGCCTGGTAATCAAATCAGCCTCGTTTTGGACCAAGCAGCTAAACCAAAGGCGTGCGACAACTCTGTGCCCTTGGTTGCAAAGATGGTCCCAAGCGTTTTGTCGCAATTTTCTGGACCCGCCTGTATCCCCCAATCATCAAAACCTCACCCGAGAAAAGTCCATCATTCAGTGGGCCACAAGGCTAATTCAATCAAATAAAAAGAACCAAACAAAAACAGCTGCAGCACTTCAACACGGTCATCGTTAAGGCCTGGTGGCATTTTAGTTTGTGCGGAACCAACCCAACAAGAATCAACATGTTCCTGCCATGCATCAGGTCCACAAATCGGGTGATAGTTTTTTACACCACTTGGCAGCAACACACTATAACCAACTTCAGACTTGAGGAATTTGCGGAACTCAATGCTTTACATTATCATTGTTTTACTCTACGGTTAGGGCTCCTGCCGTAGTAGTAAGATCTGCGATCTCTACACGTCTTCAAAGGTTGTATTTTCTGAGCACCTGCTGCTTTGACGCATGGTATGGGAAGACTTCATGCGCCCAAAAAGTTCTGACATAGTCGTCTCCCCCGCTTATTGCCCTTCCCCATCTTCCCCACATGTTCTGACTTCAATGCTCTTCATCTGGTAATTACTTGGAAATCATCAATTGCAGCACTTGATACTTGATACTTTTCACTTGTAAATCATTAGCAGAAACCGGTTGTGCTCGGCACATGGGTATAAGTCACATCAGGTACTTGGAAATCGTGAGTTTCATGGGAATCAGGATCCCTCGGATCCCCCTTGCCGCGTTTCAATCGAGTCCGCGATCAAACACCGCAGCTGGTTGAACTCCTTCGTTCCGCGCAGTTCCCAGGGCACAGCCTCCGCCCTTTGTCGCAGCGTTGCCGCGCCCGTGGCGCTGGACGTGGTGGAGAGCTCTGCTGCGATGTCTTGGAACTTGCGATTCACCTGGTTGGGGAATAAGCAATATAAATATAAGCAAATATGCTGCACAAATATGCTAGAAATTTTGTTTTGGATGGTTTTGGCATGTGTTAGGATTGGTGCACACTACATGTATCATCATCTATATACATATAATACACACATATATATATACATATATACATATATACGTATGTATATATGTATGTATGTATTATGTATATATATATATATATGTATATATGTACATATATATATATGTGTGTGTGTGATTATGTGTGTGAGTGTGTGTTTGTGTGTGCCGCAGCCTAACTGGCAGGAACTATGGTAACCCATCAATCTAGCCTTGAGCATCCTTGACCTAAGTTACTCAGCACCCTGCACAACTTTCCAGTTTACCCATACAAAACATGGTCGACCTTATATTGGATCAGTTGGAGAAAGCTGAGCAAGTCCAAACAGGATGCTGTAGCGGGGATAAAAATAAATGCTCCCAACAGGCAAGCTGGGCCACAATCATAGAACCACCAAACAGGTTTGGAACAGGTGCCCCAAGGCTCCCAAGGTGTCACCATGCATCACCAATTCTCGAGAACCTATGGTCCCCAAAAAAGGTGAGGTGGACCAGTTCATCCAAATGGAATTCAGCCGCTGATTTTCATGGTATGCGGGTATTAATTCGATTCACTTGAGCTCCCCTTTTCATAGGGATTGTCAGCATCACTGGCCACTTCGCTCCCCAATATCAACGGAAAGGTTGGCTTCAACAAGTGACGCAATCATCGCAAATGGTGTCGCTGCAGTGGTATTCACATCGCCATCTCGCCTTCAAGCTGGCCTCAAATGCTTGGCATGGCACGGCATCGCTGGCATTCCACATATGGGAGATTGATAATCATGTGACCGGCATATTCTGGAGACATGAAGGCCAAAGAACATGCTTCCCCTTCGCTTCTTGGGTTTCCTTAGCCGATTGCCAGATAGATGCACAAAAGACATATCTCCACCACAGACCCTGTACATTTGTCATATGCGTCAACAGGCCCGTAGGTGAATGAAAAAGGGTTCTGCTGTTGGCGTTTGAAACCCCCGTTTTGCAAGCCATGCGCATCCCCAACTGCTCGTCCTCACATGGAATTGATCTTGGGCTACCCAATGTTAACGGGCACTGTTGTTGGTGCCTTCCCTCTAGAGCTGGTTCCAATTCTGAGCCATTCCTCCTCCTGTGTTGTTGCTCATGGGGCGCCCTTGACAAGTCTGGGACGGCAAAGCTCAAAGTTTCGACCAAGTGACTATCCGAACACCACATATTCTGCATTCCTGGGTCAGAAACGGAAACTGCATCCCCTTCAGCAACCACCATTTTTTTTTCTGCAAAATATGTTTGCCATAGTCTGGACATGGACTTAGATCAACGACGTTTCACAGCTGTAGCACCTAAAACCTCCTATAGGTTTTCATAATCCACCGGGTCTGAACATGTTTGAACACTGATTAATAGTGCCGCGTAAAACCCCGTTTCCCCCACATTGTGGATAGCTCTGGGAAGCTGGAACAACAGCAGCTATAGATGAGCAGAGTCCAGTGGTTGAATGGTGTCCCCTCAATGGTTTTCCCCAGTTCCCCAGTCAGCCAAAAGTGGCTACGTGGCAAGTGGCTGTCTGCACAAATGGATTCCAGCGTTGCCGAAGGCGTTCATTCTCCTGAAGCCGCAGCTGCAAGAAATTGATGGACACAAGAACAATTTAGATAAATTGCTGGCAAGTGGCCAATTCAACTTAAACATTGCGCCACTGTAAGACTTTGCATTTTCTGGCATTGACATTTGGAATATTCGTTCATTTACGGTGCATATGTTTGGTTTAACAAAGTAAAACGTTGACATAGAAGGATATACAGGATATATCTTCATAATCCGACAAAGCTGTTTGACATCTTTGAGAAAACAACCATACCAATTGAATTGAGCAGCCCCTCCCCGCTGCGCAAGGTGGCTCCTCCCAACAAACTTACAGTAGCAGCGGCTCCCATTGTTGGCTCACAAAAAAATATATATATAGTTATATATATATATATATATAGTTATATATATATATATAGTTATATATATATATATAGTTATATATATATATAATCCCAATACCCAATACCAATTCCAATGAAATCGCACAGCTAATGTACATAATCCAATGCCAATGAAAGCAAACCATCATCACCAGCGCCCAGTCTACTGCACCAGATTGGTTTTGATTCCTGCGTAATATTAACACTGAAATTCTCATCGTGTTGATGCAGGGAAGCGACTTGACAGCAACAAAAGTTAGAAAAAAACTAACTTGAGTTATGTTGCAAGGCAAATTCCATGTTCAAAACGGTGCCAATTTTACTCAAATTAACTCAACTTAAGTCCGCGTATTTACTTGTGTTATGCCTTGTTAGAAATGGTATAAGTATGTATAAGTCAGTTATGGCCGTTACCTAACCTCTGCGGGATGCGGAGGTGATGAAGTGCTGTGCTAGAACTGCTTGATCGGCTTTCTGCCAAGTTGATGCCATCAGGTGATGTGTTTTAGGGGGCGTCGAAACAGCTGTTCGGTGGGGGGGGGCTAAGCGGCTAAGTGTTCTGGGCGTTCTGGTGGTTCTGGGGCTTGTGAAGGTGTGCTGGAGATGCAGTACTACATCAGGCCGCAGTAATTGTTCTGTGCTGGGGATGCCGAAGTGCTGGGGATGCTCTGAGGAGGTATTTCTCTTCATTACCTACATCTGTCAGGCTTGGGTGCTTTGCACGCCTGTTCCTTTGCTTACATGTTGGGGCCGTTTCTCAACCCAGTATCAGACCCAAATTCTCCGTATCCTACCGAAGCTGATGGGCCAGGAACTTGAGTGTCACATCGTGGAACCTTTGGGGGTTCTGTATCCACTGAATCGAGCGCTTGCTTCTGTGAAGTCATGCGCTGCAAACCATCACTGTGCCAGGCCTCCCTTAAAAGGGGGGTCAACGGCACCTGCGCGGTAGCCCATCTATATCTTAACCAAGTCATCATCCACCGTGCCAACGCTTTAAGCTAGGATGACCCCCGATCTTCAAACACCGTCTTAGATCAAGTAAATTCAAGCAAAGCGCGCTGCTATATAGGACAAATCGACGAACAAAATCAACGCATGAATAATAATAATGATAATAATAAACGGAACACAACTACTTATATCAATGACTCATTGCAATTGAGCTATGACATGAACACTACCCCTATGCCATCCCATTATACTGGTTATACAATAGGTTTCTTTGTTCTGGGCTATCAGAATCCCGAACAAGTTGGGCAGTACAGTATGGCCCCCTATTATACCCATCAACATGGTAATGTCGGCCAGGCATGAATAGATTCCATATTCATAGGGAGGCTACTATGTTTGATAGTACGTGTGAAAACTATTTTTGAGGATGCTGCCACCCGAATTCATAGTTAGGTATATTCATCCGGAGTTGACACTCACTAGCCAGTATGTAGCTACTGTCATCAACCAGCAGCATGTCTCCACTCCATTATATGACCATCTTTAGTGGTTTAAGGCACATGTTTGCAATTTAAATTGCGCAGAACTAGCATAGGTTTGATTATCATGGCAGGATTGATCCTGTCATACGGGAATTTTGTCACCTCAGTGATGGTTAACATGGTGTGTTTCTTGTCCCGTCTTGGTCAAAGAACCCTCACCCTCCAATAATCAAACAAGCCAACGAGAAAAAGGTCACCATTTACAGATGATTTTTCCAGCTATAAACCTCCATTGTGTTCGGTGATCTCCAAGCTTGCCACGTTAGATTACCAGAGGGTACCCCCCATACTACTATCAAAAAATATGTCCCTATATAGTTGTTGGTCAAATCCAATTAAATTAAATCCCATTAAGCCATATTAAGCCATATTAAGCCCCATTTATGACCACCGGCCAGTCACCACACCCCCCTTCACCTTCAGCTCGCGCACGGGGTGTCCACGATTGCAATGCACAAGCCACCTGGGCGAAACTTAAGATGTGTTTATTTTCTCAGTGCCATGCCAGTTTTATTTTATCACTATTCACTTGTGTAATGAAACTACTCATAAAGTATAGTCCATTGATTCGGGTTTGGGTTCCCGGGCACCTCAAATACAGGATTTGGGAAACGTTTGGGTCCCAGCCAGTCCCAGCACACCGAGCCACTCTGACGCTAAGGGATCGTCGTCAAACGCCATCTTCGAGCGAATATATTTTTCTTGAAGAGATGCTTGTCTTATGGACTGCCGGACATGGATGATGATCCGTGATATGTGCAACATTTTGCAACACCCACAGAGCATATTATCAGATTCCAATATGCCCTGAAAATCCTTGAAACATGATGAGTACCAGCAAAGTTTTGTGCAATCCATCGCATGTTGCTACCATGGGACCATTGCCATTCACTGATTTTCGCTTGTGGTCCCAGGCTTGGGGCCGGGTGCATCATGGGGGTCTAATATAAGTGCAAGCTTTGGGCCAACCAAGCCACATCATGTCGCCGATGCAAGCCCACACTTTCGGAGATCTGCCGGCACCAAGTGCAACTTTTCCTCTAGATATTTATATCATACACACCAAACTCATCTGATGCAGTAATCATTGAAAAATAATAACTTACAATTTACTATAACTATAATCTATAAAAGTCCTTGATGTAGAACTAAGTGCCTGAAATCAATGTGGATAATTAAGAGACAGGAGGATCCAGGATGATCCAGACGCATACCGTTGGGTCCAAAACGAGCTAAATATTATCACGAAAAGAGTTCATTACAAGAATGAATATATGGGCCATATACCATAGATAATTTTAGTATACAAACGTACGCAAACAACTACCTTCAAATGATCATTGTCCAAGCCGAAAGGTCTTTGCGTGATGCGACTTTAAAACCAAAGCAACATTAGAACTATAACAACAACATGTTCATCTAGCATCACAGCATATCGCAGCTCACGACTCCCTGTTTTAAGGTCAAGGTCCACTTCAGCGCGCTGCTGGTGCCCTTGCTCTTTGAGGAGAAGCGTCAGCCGTGAGGCTGACTTAGAAGCCATTGCGGCCCCAAACCACGAGGGCAATGGACATCGAAAACATTGAGAGCAGAACCACGAAGCTGATGTTAGGGTTCTCCAGCGGAGACAGGTCAGCCATAAGCACTGACGACTGGAGAGATTCCAGTGGTGCCGCACCTGCCGTTGATGCCACTGCTTCAACTCCCCTCGCCACTTCTACAGGGGCAACGAAGCCAAGGGAAAGAGAGCACAAGATGTAGCAGCTTGCTGCCACACACAGCAGCACTGCCAAGGGTGAGCGGCGCGCAGCGGCCATGTCCTGCCACCAGCAATCTCCAGCCAAAGTTTTTGACATCATTTCAGTGGAATGTCTACAGATTGGGTACCGCTTCTTAGTGAGCAGCTGCTGCCTATGGCGATAGCATGCTATAGCAATGTACTAACTCCAGAATCATTCCAGTACCATCCCATCCCAGCCCTTGGCCTCGAGGTGTTCCACACAATTGGTTGCTTTGAGGAACAAACGGCAGCTGAACAAGGGCATAAAAAGATTTGTCAAGGTACCAGGAACCTAAAATAAACCATTGACATCTCATGTGATGTTGTGACATATCCGTTTGGGTCCCTCCCGAATGTCAAAAATGTCAAAAATGCACTGCTTCGACGTTCCTTAGTGGCCAGGATACCCTATACAATCCCGCAACCATCATGCTGGCAGACCCTGTCCAAGCCCCACCCTGCAACAAGCAAACCATGAGTCTGGGTCCCGCCATGTCTTGCCACTTAGTTGGTTTGGTCAAGTTTTGTATACATGCTACT